TGCACGTTCACCACTTGGCGGCTTCATGCCTGGGGGCGCCCATCCCTCAGACCGGCTGAAACACTTGAACCATGGGTGTCCAGCCTTCTTGCAGTACCAGCACGCACCCTCCATTCGGGTGCTCCCCCTGCGACTAGAGCTTCCATGCCCCTCGTTATAGTCACCTCGGCCTCTCCCTCTGCCAAAGCCTCTCCCACGGCCTCGGCCTCTCCCACCCCCTCTTCCTCTGCTGCCTCCTACAGCTCCATACCCCTCAGCAGTTTTGTTGGCAGCACCACCACCCGTGTGGCGCCTGCGGAAGTCCTCCTGCAGAATCTGCTACCGTAGCCACTCTGGCGTCCACAGGTCTTGCTGAGAGTTGAGGGTGGGGATCAGGTTGTCCCATGAGTTGTCGAGCACCGAGATGATCTTGGTGCACTGCTGCATCTGCGACACCGTGCTGCCCGCCACTGCCATCCGCGCATAGGTGTCCTTGATCTTGTCAATGACCGGCTTCACATCATCTCCCGCTCGCATGGAGAGGGCAGCCAGCTCCTTCTCCAACACAATCACCATCGGCAGCGTATTGGGCTGAATCACGTCGTGCAGTAGCTTCCACGCCTTCGGTCCGGAGTCATCCAGCTCCACAAGATCCTTGATGTGCTGAAACATATCGTTGTTGACCGACTGTAGGATGAGGTCGTACAGCACCGCGCTCCTCTCGATCCATCGGTCACGTGCCCCTCCTTCCTCAGGCATCTTCTCTTCCCCCATTGCAAGTTTCAGCAGCTTGTAGCGCTTGAAGGCGCTCCTCATCCGCCCGCTCCATTCCTCATAATTGGAGCCATCCAACGCCTCAATCTTGGATGGTGGCGGCTCACTCCTCTTCTCAGCTGCATCTCCACTCCCTTGACTCATATTCTCTTCACCCAATCTCAGGTTTCAGCTCCCCCCTTTCTGTCCACACCGAAGTCCCACAATATTCTCACAAGTGTCGGCGCCAACGAAATTTTGGCAGAGTTTCCCTTTAGCGGAAGTCACATCCAACCTCTAGAACACCACTTAGGCACGCCCACAGGCCATGGTGGGTCTAGGAGGGTCTTCACACATCAGTAGACTATTCACAAGGTCCTTAATCGCTCTGATACCGCTTGTTAGAGACTAAAGACGGAGTCTATGAAGATTAGGGGCCGAAATAACTCAAAATCGTCAACTATTATTCTGGACAGAAACGTCGTCATCACAAGAAACGTCGTCGACGAAAACCGCACCGTTATAATTCTTTCAAATTCGAGTATGTTGTAGCCCTTGACCGTGGCTATCTTTCACAATTTGAATCGTATCAAAATATGGAGTATAACTCGAGTTATAAATTTCGGCGCACTAGGGGGTATGCTGCCATAGAAACTTAAGTCAATCACAATAGTTCAGAAAATCCACACAAGAGAGTTGGAGTAGCTAGAAACCAGGTAGAAGAGGATGAGGAGGACGAGAGGGAAGGTCCCCAAGGAGTCCCCAACCAAGGAAAACCCCATACCACACAATTCCCCTCCCTATAGGCACGCCATTTTTTACCTATGTCACTTTCCCAACCCATGCCATCCACCTCACCCAACTTGGCCACACTTGCCAACCTGGTTTGGCTTCTCCCGACCACTTGGCATCATCTAGAGTGATGGTGACGAATTTCCCAACCCCCAAATGTCTGTACCCCTTATGGAGTCAACCCGCAAATTCCCATAGTCGCCGCATCACAATCAAAACTTCGAACGATCATAACTTTCTCGTTCTTGCTCCGATCGCGGCGATTCTTGGTTCCTCGGAAAGCTCTCGAGCAGAAGAGTCATTTCAGATATCTGCTCAAGCAGAATAACATTCACACACACTCAGAGAATCCAAACCACACCAAACACAAATTCTTGCACACGCTCACATCATGCATGCAACGCACGAACATATGATGGGAGGCAGACAGACGTGAATGCAAATGATAGCATCACATAACAGCTTCGACTCTTCTGACTCCTCGACTTCGTACTCGGTAGAGTCGGCTCCTGCAGCATACAGGAATGCCTTCTCATAAACTTTCATATCGTAACAAGGTAGTAAAGAAAAGACATCTTGAAGTTCAGCAGAGCAAGAAGCAACTTACTGTAGCCTGGCAATGTAATGCTGAATACAGAGTACTGGTTTACAGCTTTTCTATAATTGGCATAAGCTCACTTGCCTAATTGTTCCAAGTTTGATACCTTATTTTATATTTTCGTGAAACAAATGACTCGTAATGAATCGTGTACATGTATTGAAATTTGAAGTTTCAAGATTTGCAGCCATGCTCATTCCCCTCATTTCGTGGTTTTAAAACCCGCAGCATGAATTACAAAAACAATTGGGAGCGCGAAGACGTGGATGCGGAGAGGGCACTGCCGTTGGGGATGCAGCGGGTGGAGGAGGGCCTCCCTGTGGTGGGTGTGCCTATTGGGGAGGAGGATTGGGAGGTGATCCGGTTACGGGAGCGGCTTCGACAACTGCAGGCGCCATTGCCATGGCTCCCCCTGCTCGACCACCCTCAGATGGCTTCACATCTCCTCGCCATTGCAGTTTCAGCGCGGCCGATGTACCTCGCCCGGACTATGCCGCCGCGCCCGGAGGTGGTGGAGGCCTTTAGGGATTGGGACAGCTGTCTGGAAGATTGCTTTGAGCAGCTTTTCCCACCTGGCACTTGGGAGCAGGACCCCGACCGGTCTAGGCGCGCACGCATGCAGCTGCACCTCCCTGTGCGACTCGGAGGGTTTGGGATCCGAGCGGCGACCTCTCTGAGCCCACTGTCCTATGTTTGTGGGTGGGCGCAGCGCGCGATATTGCACAGCTAGGGGTGGCGGGTGAGGAGACGATGTTTGCAGAGTGCCTCAGCACTTCGACAGGGGCAGAGTTTCTTGACCCGTGGTTTGCTAAGGCTCTCGAGCAGCTGCCTGCGACTATACGCCAGGAGATGCCGGGCTTACCTCTGTGCGTAGCCGCCCCTCCTCTTCGGCTTTTCCAGGCGCGACAGCGGCAATTGGCTGTAGAGGAGCTTGGGGAACTGCGCCGCATGGCCCGTGACGATGCCACCCTGGCCCGTTTCACATCCCTTCAGGGCCCGGGGGCTGGTGCATGGGTTACGGCGGTCCCAGCTCACTCAGACCTCACATTCACCGCGGCTGAGTGGGGCATTGCTGCTGCTATACGGCTTGGGCTCCCAATTCAGCAACTGCAGGTGGCAGGGCGGTGTGTTTGTGGCACAGCGTATGTTGACCCAGCGGACCCGCATCATGCCCTGAGATGCAGACACCAGCACGGTCCTTCTCGGGTGCATGACGAGGTGAAGTTTGCAGTGGCGAGGATTTCTAAGGCGTCAGGGGGGGTTGTGACAATGGAGGATAGTGTGGTGCTGCCGGGGAAGCGGGTTGACGTAGCGGTGCGACGACCAATGGCCGGAGAGGCTCACGCTCTGGAGATTAGCGTCGCGGACCCGCTATCGCTGTCTCCATCTTTGCTAGGGCAGTGCGGGCCTTCCATAGGAGTGGCGGCACGGGAGTGGGAGCGTCGCAAAACGAGTGATTACGCAATCGGGGCGTGTAGGTCACCCCTCTGATAGTGGAGACGTAGGGGTGTCTCGGTGGCCGTTTCCGGCGGTGGCTTCGACAGCAGGGGGACGCGCACTTGGGGCTAGCTGTGTCACGGGGGGCTTGTCGGGAGGATGACACTTCGTTTTCAGCTTACCTTTTGGGGTCTCTGAAGGCGCTTGTTGGGGTGGCGTTACAACGGGCGCAAGCCTGTGTCATCCTGCTTCGTGCGGCGTCTTCCATGGGGGGGATGAACGTGGACGTGGTGGACAGGGAGAGGGACGACGTTGAGGTGGAGGGGGGGGCTCTCTGGGTGGAGGCCCCGTACATGGTGGATGCAGGGATGTGAACGAGGGGGGGTGGAGTGGGGTGCGGGATGGGGTGTCTGGACAGGGTGCTTTGATTGGGGGTTTTGATGGGGTTTTTATGTGTGATACGCGCAGGATTTTTTGGTAGCTTTGCTTCCCTTCTCCCTTTCTTTCTCCTTTTCTCCTTTCTCTATGTCTCTCTTTCCCTTTTCTTGAAATCTTCCTGGACACTACGTAAAAAAATTGGGAGGTGTTAAAACCCGCGTCTCATATTTCTTGTTTCCAACCAAAGGTAATACGCTTGAAACCGGGTAACCAAACAATCACTCGCAAAACACTCGCGTTTGGTTTGGCGCAGGTGTGATTGGCTGCAAACCAAACAGTTTGGTAGAGGCAGGTGCCTGACTACCAAGCCGGGTTTGCGAGAAACAGGCAACTGCATGTGCGACGGATTGAGAATGGGACGCACAGCCCACAACCGAGCGTATTACAGAGCTGGAAAAATATGAGACTGCAAACCCAGACAGGTTGTAGGTGGAGAAACATACTCGCACCGATTTCTCTAGCGACTAAGTCTCATTTCAGCATCTTATTTTCCCTAGGTTTATTCCAGCGTCAAACGTGACAATACCTTGTACCTCTCGTTGTCGTTGTTTATTTTTATCTTTGGTCACTCCGCGCCTGCATTTGCTTTTACGCACGTATAGTCTGTCCATCGCCAGAGCTGGTCCTCATTATTGCAATAAGATGCACCACTCTATTTGGACCAAGGTGTATTGCAGTAACGCTCCCCCCTGTCGAATTTGGACGGAAGGGACACGACGGAAAGGCAGCAGTTAGGACGAGATAGGAAGCGACGCGACGGAAAGGCAGCAGTTAGGACGAGATTGGAAGCGACGCGACGGAAAGGCAGCAGTTAGGACGAGTTAGGAAGCGACGCGACGGAAAGGCGAGGGTTAGGACGAGATAGGAAGCGACGCGACGGAAAGGCGAGGGTTAGGACTGGATAAGCAGCGACGCGGCTGAAAGGCGAGGGTTAGGACTCGATAAGCAGCGACGCGCCATTACAGGAAGCGACGCGACATGGCTGGAAGCGAGGAGAAAGGGACTAGCTTAGTCCTGCTTGTAACTGGAACAAAGGGAGAGGTGACGGGAGGAAGGAAGGCTCCAGGGATGAGAAAAAGGGCAGTTGAGATGTGAAAGAAGAGAAAGGTGGTAAAAAGGGGGAACGGGGAGAGCAAAAGAGGGTAGGGGTGATGCAAGGAAGGGAGGCTGGCACGCAAGATGGGAAGGAAGGGAGGGCAAATGAGAAGAATGGGAGGGGATGAGAAGGGAAGGGACAGGAGATGGGAAGGCATAGTAGGGGAAATGAAAAAAAAGGAGGGCAGATGGAGAAGGAAAGGGCTCTACACACTCATGGCCCTAAACACAGCACTCAACCTCCCCACCTCCTACTCCCACTCCCCCTCCCCTCTCTCACCATCGCCCACACCCACACCCTCCTCACCTTCCCCTGCTTACATACACCTCAGTTCGGGCAGAAAAGCTAGCAGGGTGAGCGCGTGGCGAGGGCTGGCTGGCAAGCAAGCCTTGCTGCAGACATTAGGAAAGTTGGTAGGGGAGGGGGTGAGGGTGAGTTAACAGGGAGAGGAAGGGGAGAGAGGGAAAGGGAGAGGGTGAAGGGGAGAGAGGAAAGGGAGAGAGGGAAGGGGAGAGAGGGAAGGGGAGAGGGTGAATGGGAGAGAGGAAAGGGAGAGAGGGAAGGGAGAGAGGGAAGGATGTGTGTTGTGTCTCGAGGCGCAGATGGCAGTTGGGGGAAAGGGAGGTGTGAGCACCGGGATGTGAAGGCTGAGGGACGTGTGGCAAAATGACTTGTGCATTTTTATGCACATGCACTGAATGATAAGAATACAAACAGGTGCACACCCGCACGCACGCACGCACGCGCACGCACGCACGCATGCACGCTTGCTCTCACGCACGTGCACGCAAGCACGCACGCGCGCACGCACGCGCGCGCACGCACGCACGCATGCACGCACGCACGCGTACGCGCACGCAAACGTGCACGCACACGCGCACACACGCACGCCGCACGCGCACGCGCAAGCGCACGCACGCACGCACGCGCACGCTCGCGCACGCACGCACGCACGTTCGCACGCACACAAGCTTTCACACACACCCCACACACATGCCACTCGCACACAGACCTTTCACGCAATCGCGCTTGTCGTAGATGGACGACCCGAGCGCATTCTGAAATGCGACATCACCTCTCCGGGTTCCACAGCTGTAAATAGAAGAGTAAGAACGCATTTCGGAATGTTACGGACTGGCTACCTCGTAACAAGCGATGGCGTTGCGACCGTTCCCGACATTGGACGATTCCTTAGTCGCCAATTAGTGCGTTATCCGCAACCAGAATTTGTTCGCAAGTCCCCTGTTATCTGGTCCGAAATGGTCTCTAATATCACTGTTTTAGCGACTAAGGCCAGCATCTTGATGTGGAGGTACATACGTAGGAACCATCCTAAGCGGAGGTTGTAAGACTGACAGGTGAGAGTTTTGCTCTGCTTTTCCTGGTGAACGTGGGCGAATTGCGTCTTGTCGTTTCAGTTGGTCGCAGGGAACTGCCGGATCTGTTTTTTAGGTGTGGGAGCTTTCCATGCCTGAGGGGCTCGTTTGGTTTTTGCGTAGACGAACTGAGGTGTCGTCTGTGTTTTCCAAACTGCTCGTCACAAATCTCGCCTATCGTTACCCAATCACAGGCGCTTTAGCCCAACCAAGTGTAATACACTAGGAAATATGAGACCCGGGTTTTAACACCTCCCCTCCTGAACCAGGGTGGTTACCAGGTCTCACCTTCAAAACGTGAGGAAAGTCGCAGGGTGCTCGGTTCCTTGTCAACCACTCTGGGCCAGAGGTGTGCACACCAAACAGGAAACGTGTAATTCATGTCGAGAGAATCCGCCTAGTTCGCCAAGCTAGTGCGACAGCCATAGCTTATTAGAATAGCTAGGCTCCAGCCCCATCCCAGCGCCCGTCACGACTGTCGGCCTTACGCTCTATGACCATCACTCCATTACGGCCAATTCGTCGCCCACGGTTTTCCCGTAACTATGTCACGTTTCTAGGCGACATAGCTAGCCTTGCCCATATGCACATCGTCGCCAAAGCTTCACTTCTGCTTCGCCCACCGCATCGATGTCGCCGATGTCCGCGTTCCTAAGGGGAGGGCCAATTACTTCGTCGCACCGCTTCTTCTACCCGTTGTCCACGCTCGGTCCCCCCCGGTCCCACACACGCACTCCCTCGCCCACGCGAACTCCCTTTACCGTCGCCTACGCTCAGTAATTTCCCTCGCCCTCGCTTACTCCCTTACCGTCGCCCACTCTCAATAGATTCCCTCGCCCACGCTTACCGGGGTTACCGTCTCCCACGCTCACTCCCTCGCCCACGCCAACTCCCTCGCCCACGCTTACTCCCGTACCGTCGCCCACGCTCATTAATTTCAATCGCCCACGCTTACTCCCTTACCGTCGCCCACGCTAACTCCCTCGCCCACGCTAACTCCCTCGCCCGCGCTTACACCCTTACGTCGCCCACGCTCACTCCCTTACCGTCGCCCACGCTCACCACTTTTCCATCGCCTTCGCGCAATCCGTCGAACACGCTCAATCACTTCCGTCGCCCACTCTCAAACACTTCCGTCGCCCACGCTCAATCACTTCCGACGCCCACGCTCAATCACTTCCGGCGCCCACGCTCAATCACTTCCGGCGCCCACGCTCAATCACTTCCGTCGCCCACGCTCAATCACTTCCGTCGTCCACGCTCAATCACTTCCGTCGCCCACGCTCAATCGCTTCCGTCGCCCACGCTCAATCTCTTCCCTCCGCCCACGCGCACTCCCTTTCCGTCGCCATTGCGCAATCTTCCGTCGCACACGCTCACCCCCGCTCGCCGCACACGGCCGATTACCCCCCGTCGCACACAGCCGCTTGCGCTCTCCCTTTTCATCGCCTCCCGTTCTCCCAAATCATGGCCGCACGTCCGCCCTATTCGTATCCTCACCCCATTTCCTCTCCTCCCCATCCAGCGCATGCAGCGTACGACAACGCAGAGGAGTATTTCCAATGTGCAGCGCCATCCCTCACCTCCCCATCCCTCCCCTCCCCATCCCTCCCTTCCCCATCCCTCCCCTCCCCATCCCTCCCCTCCCCATCCCTCCCCTCCCCATCCCTCCCCTCCCCATCCCTCACCTCCCCATCCCTGCTGCTGTCTCTGTAAATGATGCGGAAACCCGCCCTCTGTCCCCCTCTCCGTCTCACCATTCCCGCCACTCCCCTGTCAACACCACCCCATCCCATGCCACCAGGGAAGGGTCAGACGCGGGGCAAAAGAGTGTTGGCGTGCGACCCGCAACACCGCTGTCACTGGCTTATCGTCAAGCTGAGTCGGGGGCGCCGCGACATCTTGAGAGCCACCATCTCCGCCTCACCCCATACCGCCTCATCCCCTTCCGCCTCATCCCATTCCGCCTCATCCCATACCGCCTCCCCCATTCCGCCTCACCCCATACCGCCTCACCCCATACCGCCTCACCCCATACCGCCTCACCCCATACCGCCTCACCCGTTCCGCCTCACCCCATTCTACCTCACCCCATCCCCGCCTCCCCATCCCTACCCTCCCCATCCCTCAACTCCCCATCCCCGCCTCCCCATCTCTTCCCTCCCCATCACTCTCCTCCCCATCCCGCACCTCCCCATCCTTCAGCTCCCCATTCCGCATCTCCCCATCCCAACCTCCCCATCCCGCATCTCCCCATCCCTCACCTCCCCATCTCTTCCCTCACCTCCCCATCCCTCACCTCCCAGTCTCTCATCTTACCGTCCCTCTTCTCCCCATCCCTCATCTCCCCATCCCTCACCTCCCCATCCCTCTCCTCCCAGTCTCTCATCTCCCCATCCCTCTTCTCCCCATCCCTCATCTCCCCATCCCTCATCCCCCCATCCCTCACCTCCCCATCCCTCACCTCCCCATCCCTCATCTCCCCGTCCCTCCACACCCCATCTCCTCCACACCCCATCTCCTCCTCACCCCATCTCTTCCACACCCCATCTCCTCCTCACCCCATCTCCTCCACACCCCATCTCCTCCACACCCCATCTCCTCCACACCCCATCTCCTCCACACCCCATCTCCTCCTCACCCCATCTCCTCACACCCCATCTCCTCCTCACCCCATCTCCTCCTCACCCCATCTCCTCCACACCCCATCTCCTCCTCACCCCATCTCCTCCTCACCCCTCCTCCTCTACACCCCATCTCCTCCTCACCCCTCTTCCTCCACACCCCATCTCCTCCTCACCCCATCTCCTCCTCACCCCTCTTCCTCCACACCCCATCTCCTCCTCACCCCATCTCCTCCTCACCCCATCTCCTCCACACCCCATCTCCTCCACACCCCATCTCCTCCTCACATCATCTCCTCCTCACCCCTCCTCCTCCACACCCCATCTCCTCCTCACCCCACCTCCTCCTCACCCCATCTCCGGCGCACCCCATCTCCTCCACACATCATCTCCTCCTCACCCCTCCTCCCCTCTGTCCCCCTCCGGCGTCGCTATTCCCGCCTCTCCCCCGTCAACCCCATCCCATCTCCGTGCCTCCAGGGACGGGGTGGACGCGGAGCATAGGAGTGTTGGGTGCGACCTGCCACGGGCTCGTTGTCGAGGGCGCCGCCACGCCCTGGGAGGCACCATCTCCGCCCCACCCCACTCCGCTTTCCACCATATCCGCCCCACCCCATCTCAAAATCCCCCCATTCCGCCCCACCCATATCCGCCCCACCCCATCTTTCCCCCACCCCATCTCTGCCTCCCGCTTGTCTCCCCCATACCCTCGATCCTATTTTCCCCCAAACCCTTCCCCTTGTTTCCCGCCTTCCCGCCCCCACACCCCATTCTGCAACTGCATCCAGAATAGCCCGCTACAGCTGCTGCTGTAGCGAGCGGGTGTGGCTGCAGACGGATGGGCACAAGGTAAGGCAAGCGCTGTCCGGCTCTGTTGTGTGGGGCTGTGCTCTGCGCTGCTCTGCTCTGCGGCTCTGCGGTGCTGTGCTGTGATCCGCTTTGCACACACCCCGCCTCCCCCTTCTCATATCCTTTGTTTCCCTCTTTCTGTCTCATCTCATTCACCACCAGGTGGCTGTTCAACGACTCAAGCTCAAGACATCAGTTCGTGGACCATCGTTATATGATACTAGCAGGTTCCCTCATGGATGCACTGACGTGATGACCCTCTTGGCTCGTGTATTGTCCCTCTCGCAATAAAGCTTGCTGGAACTCATTGGGTTTCACGAATATGCCGAAGGCGTTGGGTTGTAAGATTGAATGGTGAAAAACGAGTCATGATGGCACAAAACATAACGCACAGAAGCATTGCCGTACTAATCTTCATTGGAATAATGTACAGCACATCATATTCATGAGCATTTCTATGCTGAAACCTCTAGATCATGGACAAACTTATTAGAAAGAAATGTATGAGAGAATTACATAGTGGCGCGGATCCCCACTCCTCGCGGACGGCAAACACGAGGAGGAATTGAATGACCAAGCCATTTGGTCTGTACTGATAGTGCCCGTACAAAGTCAATAGACATTGTAAATGGCTTGGTCATACAAGCCTGTAACTGCGGTGGAAAATGAGTGGTGGGCAAAACGGAAAACAAGGTGGTCAAAACGGGGGTAGGGGATGTTGCACGAGACCACATGTGGGACTGCGGGAATGTAGTGAATGGAAGCAGGCGATATAGTGCATGAGACCTGAAGGACCAAGATGGGAAACTGGGGGAGAATGAAGTGGGGGGAGAGGAGAAGCAGGGTTGCAGGGGAGAAACATAGCTCAGTGGTAAGAGAGGTGAACAAGTGGGAGAGAGTGAGCTGGGGGGAATAGAGTGAGGAGGGTGGGCAGAGATTGAGAAAGGGGGGTGGGAGAGCGCAGGGATAAAGAGAGCGAATAGGGGTAAGATAGTGAGCTTGGGGGAAGTTTGTGAGTAGGGCTGCAGGGAATGAGAGTAGAGCATTGGGGGGTGCGTAGTGAGAAGGGGAAATTGCATGTATTAGGAGGAAACAGAGCAAGTTTAGGGTTTAGGGCGATGGGAGGGGGATACAGAGCACCGAGGCGGGAAGAGAGATAGGAGGAGGGTTTAGAGCAAGCATATTGGAAGAGGGTGTTGTTGGAAGAAGAGCAAGCATAGGGGAAGAGAGTGAGCAGGGTGGAGACTGAGGGGGGACGTTGGTTTAGGGTAATGCTCAGGGGTGACTGAGGGAAGAAAGAGTTAGTGCCACGTACCGAAAGTATGCGCAATGCGAAGACGAATGAGGAATTGTATGACCAAGCCGTTCTGTCTGTATTTGCGGAACCCGTACACGGTCAATAGACATGAAGGGCTTGGTCATACAAGCCTGTAACTGCGGTTGATAAGAGGGGTTGGCAAAAGAACATTGGAACCATATGTTGGAGGGGCGGAATTATGACACAAGATTGGAAGGATGCGGGAATACGGTATTGGGAAACGGAGGTTTCAGGGAAATAAAGCAGGGGGCTAGTGGTAACGTGAAAGGGGGGAGGTGGAGTTGAGAGTAGGGAAGGCTGGGGAGAATATGAGAGGATGTTGTAAGCAGGGCTGCAAGCCGAAACACAAGTGCAGGCACAAGAGAGTGAGCTGGGGGAAGAGAGAGAGCTAGGGGGAAGACAGTGTGCACGGGGGAGGGAGATAGCAGGGTAAGAGATAAGCGCAGGTCGAGGGGTGGTCCTAGGTTTACAATAATGCGTAGGGGAGGGCGGCGGGGAAAAGGCCCGTTAGTACCACGTACTAGAACAATGGGGGTGGATCTTGTGATCATCCGCTGTTGCCTTTGGAACCTCAGCGTGTGTTGGTCAAGTCACCTTGTGTATTAGAATGCGTATGTGATGGATGGAAACGAGGCACACAGTGATGAGCATTGCTCGTTTGTCACAAAAGATGTGCAAGGCCGGTAATGGAAATGACTCGTACACATTTGACCCGCACATATGATGCTCACCGAATAAGTTGCGGCGTGGACCGAGAATGTTGGTGCTTGTTGTGTTGGGCGTAGGTTGTGCTCTCGTTGGTGTTCGTAGCTGTGAAAGTCCAGAACCGAGCGAAGGACCAGCGGATGCCTCGGCCACAACGAGATGGCCTATTGCTGGTGCAGCCTCGTCCACCTCCCGAGTCGCTGGAGTACCCCCCATGTCAGACTCCTCATCAGGTTCAGGAGATTCCGTCCAAGGACGCCTCCACTCTCTCAGGATGCTGTCAACCCAACTCCAGTCCATTGGACCAAGCACTCGATCCCTCCGACCACGTCTTATTCGTGTAGTTCGCCGCGCACGGATGATATATGCACGCACAATACGATCCATAGTGTGGTTCCAATGGAGAGCAGCCATGGCAACTCGTGGCTCATAACTAACGTCGAATCGGATGCGTTTTGGTGCGTATTTGATTATGAGCGAATGAAACGACTCATTCATTGAGGTGGTTGCGCCCTCGACAATGCAGGCAACCTTGGATGGACTGAAGTGTTTCGCCATCCACGCTCGAACAGCCACATGTGTCGGAGAGTTTGGCAAATATACAGCAGACTCCGCAGCCCAATTCTCCGCCACACACCTCGGTGCACATGACCCGCCTCTGTCGCATCGAGAATGATCTCCTGCAAAGTGGTCTGCTGCAAGGCATAACTCAGCTGACACATCCTCACACGACCGTGTGTGCCCCTCTTTAGCCATCACCCCGCTGCGCATCATGCAATGATAAAAGTGCACGGCAAGTCTGTCGACAATGCTAACCCCCTTCCCTCTCGCCTGTACCTCACCATCACCATTGCTCCCGCCACCCTCTTCTTGTCGTAATCGTGATCGTGGAGCACGCCGTCCCCACCTCCTATGGCTCCCCACTGTCGCGGCTGGCTCCAAGTTGACACCCTCGCCAACCCTGGAGGTCGAGGGTGTGGCTCCACTCGCACTGATGGGCAACACCTCTGACAGTGCCCTCGCTTGTTGACCTGCTCACAGCGGTGTGGGAAGAACGGAAAAAGAGCAGAGCATGCGTCATGGCATAGTAGCAGGGGTTACAAAAAATGAGATGAGGCATGATTGCAAAATAGTAAGTGGGAGATTGAAGGGCGAACAAACAATGGAGTCGGGTAGATTATGATAGTATTATGGGAATGGGAATGGGTAGCACTGAAAATGAATAGCAAAAGGGCATGAGAAGTCGAGTAGCAAAAGGGGAGATAAAAAGGGGGCGGGTTGGGTCAAGTGATATAGTCCACACACGGGAGAATCATTACCTTGATCGTCATCTGCAACCTCTGTGTCGATGCCCTCCACCCCGTTCCACGCCTGTACAAGTACCAATGATGCATGTGAGGCAGGCCGTATCCCATATTCTGGGTGTGCATCGTAACTCCACAGCTCCTCTACATCCGGCCATTGTGTATCGACTGCGACTGCCCCGTCAGGGAGAACCTCCTCAGTCTCAGCAAAGTGAACAGCCCCACCACCGCTCGATCGACCTCGACTCACTGAGTCTGGGATAGACCCCCTGTGCACTTCTATGTCGATCGGTCGTGCATCGGGACTAACACGAGGCAGCAACACTTGTTGTAACTCAAGATGCACCCACTTGGCATCTGCAGGGTCCATGTCCTTGAATGCTATTCCACGCATAGCGCACACATGCTGTACAAGCGTCTTCTTCCCCATCCCCCTATGAAAGCGCGGGCTTGAGTTGTCATTTAACCAGGCCAATAGATTATCTACTGTGATAACGTACAGATCTTCACAACATTTGGCCCCCACTACAGATCCCACTTTCCTCGTGGCGTCCTGTACATCTGTCCTAAAACCTCGCATGAAGGCACCACACTTATGCCACCAGTCGTTCTGATGCATCAGTCCCCTGTCCCGCACCGCACTTTTGTAACAGTTGCCTTCGTCCGTGACAATTCCATCCACCTGAAATCCACTTGCAGCAAGCTCATCCATACCGGCGTCAAAAGCAATCTTCTCGAGCCCCACTGAGTTCCGTTCGTCCCTCTCCCTTTTGGCGTTTTTGTAGTGGAAGATCTTTCTAGTTTCGCGATCCATGAACGATACAGTGCACCACTTCGCCTCACGAACCTGAGAGAACCTTGCATCTATACACGCCCACTTTCGGCGATCTGGCCCCCACCCCACGCTCGCTCGAGCACGCTCCATACAGCACTTGGCTTGCTCGATCATGACACCCCACAACCCTTCATCCCCTCCCATGAGATTGTAATAGGTCCCATGACCTGGCTTTGGCACGCCCAAAGTGCGACAAACCTCCCACATCTGCTGGTACCCTAACCCAGCAAGGGCAAAAGCACCAACAAGCTTTCCCATCAATGGTGGACTGCGTGGTCCGCGCTTGCTAGGCGGTAAATCATTCCTCTCTCGACTACCTGACCAAAATTCCACCCTCTTAGAACAGACGTTGCACAACCACATGAGTCCCATACACGCCCAAGCCCGTTTCCATGACTCCAGCAACAGTTCCCCTTTGCAGCCAACCCTTGCGCAACAACCCAAGGCCCGGCCACTAAAGAACGACACTAACACCCGCGGTTCAAGGAAGCAAACCGTGTCTCCTGGAAAATCGTCCCAGTTCAGAGGGGATGGCCATCCACACGGCCATCGACGCTTTCGTGTCACACTGAGAGCGTCGGGTCTGGATGGGCGGGATGAATATTTGTTGTACTTCGTGAATAGCGGGGTGTTGTAGGTGGATAAACATGCACTTACGTCTCTCACAAAGATGGGAGGGATAGTGAGACGAGACTTGGTGGTAAGGGGAGATGGGGTGAGATGGGGTGACCTGGGGCGGAGGATGAGCGATGAGGAATAATGTGCGAAGAGAGATAAGCAAGGAATGAATGGTGGATGTGAAAAGGTACCTGCCTGGCTCTTCATCTGGACCAATCTCGTCGCGTGCAAGCTCAGCGCTCGTTCTGCAATGCGGTGAAGTATTTGAACCTACAAACCCCCCCGCGTTTCCCAGCGATGACGACGCACCACCGTCCCCATCCCGCATGTCACGTGCCCTCTCCACCCCCCGCTCTGCACCCGGCGGCGTTGCAGACCCTCTCCCTAGTTCCACAATTATAGGCGAGGTGTCACTGACTCTCTCCTCGACAAGTCCCGGAGGTGGACTTGACACATGACCTGGTAATTGCATTGACAAGGATATGTATTAATAAATGTGTTGTAATATGTGGTAAAGCACCAAGCCGGGTCTTGTCTGTTGGAGGTTTTTCACTTTATTGGTTATTCCTTGCCAGCCACCGTTGCAATATAGATGCATAGCTACTTGGCTCTCACCATCAGATGGCTGGACGTTTGTCGAAGGCTGAACATCAGCCTCGTCCGAACCCCGACTTCTGCCTCTCCTTAGCACTCCGTTTTGGTCCAACTCCCATAATGGAAAGTTGTAGGCCACTCCATGTAAACTCCGATCGGGCCGTTTGAGCAAATCGTCCACTCCATCAAGCCCCCCACCCATGCCTTTCCAAAACGCTCTCTCCGTCGCCTCAAGATGCAACTCTACCATCTTCCCGGCCTTATCGCCCCCAGTTCCTACATTTGGAGGGGATTAAAAGTTGAGAAAGCGTAAACGGGGGGAGACGTGTCATGTGGAGATACGTAACAGACGAAATGTGCATGCCACATGTAGTTTGTCCTTTGATTGAGTACGAAACATAGTGGGCACCATGGATGGACTGACAATTCCCCTCACATTACCTGCATTCATAGCAGCTTTTAGTAATCTCTGTGTGACATGTGGTGCTGCCAGCATGTAAATCGATAACACATCAGAGAGTGTTGCTGTGGTTGTGTCCGGCATCAGCACACTCAGCCCAACGCGCAGATAGCAGACAGGAGAACGAAGGTGTAAGTGAACAGTATGGTGACGTTGATCAAACAAGCGACAAAGTTCCGACGCAGTAGGTTGCGCCATCTTGATGGGTTGCAATTCACATGCAATAAACAACCATGGGCAAGGGGGAAAGAGAGTGAGCAGGATGGATCACGGATAAACGCATGGGCAAAGGCGGGGATGGGGTGAGTGAAATGGGAAACTAATCGGGAGGTAAGGGGGAAACGGATAGGAAGTAAGTGGTTTGCTGGATGTGGGAGTTGCGTGAATGAGAAGATAAAAGAGGAGAGGTGAGGGATGGAAAATGACGGGCGATGGGTGGAGAGAGGAGTAAATATGAGGGGGAGGGAGGGTTAGAAGGGAGTAATGGGCATGGGGAGGGGAGGTGAGATGGGTACAATGCGATGAGGGGAGAGTTTGAGAAGGGGGAAAATGGGGTGAGCGATGGGGGAAACAGAGGGAGGGCGCTGTGGAAGAGAGTGTGAGGGCGTTGTGGAAGAGAGGGAGAAAGGGGGAAATGGGATGAAGGAAAGGGGAATCAGGAAACGAGAGCATACAAGGGGGAAAGACAATGAGCAGGGGGGTAATGGGATGAGTGCAGAGGGATAGAGAAGGAGCTGGGTGAAATGGGGTGAGTGAAGGGGGGAAAGTGAGTGAGCATGGGGGAAACATGATCATGGAAGGGGTCATGATCATGAGCATGTGTCATGGAAATGGGATGAATGCAGGGCGAGTGAGATTGAGAAGGGGGCAAGTGGGGTGAGTGTAGGGGGATGAAGAGTGAGCAAGGGGGAGTTGGGATGAAAGAAGGGCGAATGAGAGTGATGTGGGGGGAATGGGATGATGCAATGGGAAGGAGATTGAGCAGGGGTGGAAAGGTTGATTGAAGGGGGGAAACGGGATGAGTAAAGGGGGAAAGAGAGTGAGCTAGGGGAAATGGGGTGAGTGAAGGGGGGAAAGAGAGTGCGCTGTGGGGATATAGGATCATAGAAGGGGGATCGAGAGTGAGCAGGGCGGACATGGGATGCGAGAAGGGGGCATCAGAGTGAGCAGGGGGGATAAAAGACAATAGATGAGGGAGAAAAGAGTGCGAGCACGGGGGTAATGGGATGAATGCAAAGGGATTGAGATTTAGCAGATGGCAGATGGGATGAGTGAAGGGGGATAGTGAGTAAGCAAGGGGGAAATGGGATGGAAGAAGGGGGGATTAGTGACCAAGGAGGAAATGGGATGAAAGATGGGGGAAGGAGAGTTAGCAGGTTGGATTTTGAGATCAACACATGGGGAAAGGGGAGAAGGAGTGTGAGCAGGGGGGGAATGGGACGGAGGGGATTGAGCATGTGCGACGGAGGGGATTGAGCATGTGCGACGGAGGCATGTGCAAAGGGGGAAATGGGATTGGGCAGAAGGGAAGCAGGTGAGGGGCGGAAATGGGATGGGATGAGTGATGGGGGAAAGTGAGTGTGATGTGCGGCGACTGGATGGTTGAAGGGGGCCAGTGAATGAGCAGGGGGGAAACGGGATGCAAGAAGGGGGAAAGAGAGGGAGCAGAGGGGAGGTAGGAAGTGTGAAGAGGGGGGGGAAAGAGAGTGAGCCGTGGGGAAATGCGGGCGACTGATTGGGGAATCGCGGGCGACGGCCACGCGAAATGCGGGCGACGGGATGGGGAATCGCGGGCGACGGGTTGGGGAAACCCCGGTGCTGACGGCTCGGCCCCATCATGGGCAATGCGGAAATTTGATGGCACTAAGATTCGATACTTTGTGTCGAAGGGAAGGGCTAAGGCGCCGTCGGCTTGGGGAAATGCAGTCGACGTGAACGCGGAATGCGGGCGACATGGAGGACTAAAGCTGGCGATGGGAAGAGGTTATGCCGGCGCTTCGTATTGGAATTGCATGTGACGGGACGGGATATTTTTTGCGCCGTGATTAGTATATATTGGAGACGTTTCGCACAATGAGGGGTTTGGAAAGGCTAAGTACGGGCGACCACAAGGCGGAATGCGGGCGAAGGGAAGGCTCACCGCGGGCGACGGGAAGGCTTTATGCGGGCCGACGGGCTCCCTATTCCCCCGTGTCGCCTAGGCTAAATGCGGTCGACGGGCAGGCTACTGGTGTTGCGCGTCGAAAGGGCTAGCAAATGCGTTTCGCGTCGTGAAGGCTAGCCAATGCGTGTCGCGTTGGGCAGGCTAGCAAATGCCCTTCGCGTCCGGACTGCTAAGTGCGTTTCGTTTTAGGGACGGCTAAAGTCGTTTAGCGTCAGGAAGGCCGAATGCGTTTTGTGTCGGAAAGGATAGTTGCGTTCCCCGTCCACCACATCCTGTTCTTGGGCCGTGCACGGCGAGTGCTTGGTTAGTATCGTAGTGGTGCTAGTACAAGTCCTCTAAACAGCAAGTCGAGTAGCGAGAGGTATGTTGGGGTGTGGTAGGCTACTTCATCCCATTCAGTTGGTGCTGTGTTCACATTCGTCCTCGAGTCGTTTGATTGGTAGCGACACCAGATCCTCGCTACATTGCTTTCGCTAACAAGCAGCTCTCGCAATTCCTCCGAACCTCAGATTGCCTGACCCCTTACCTAACCCAAGCCTCGCGTTGACTGAGTTTTGTAATTCAGGCTGCGGGTTTTAAAGCCGGCGGCCCAAATTGTTCATGCTTTTAAAAGTTGACCAGAGGGAGTTTTTCTGGTGTGGGCTTTGGCGAGAGTTTCCGATTTCGTCTAGGTTCGTTTTTTTCGCGAGACCCAGCCAACCCTCGGTTTTCCCCCTGGTGAGTGAATCTGTCTTCGGAAGTCCCAAATTGCAAGTGCGTGACTTTCAAAAGCTTGGACACTCAACTTCGTCAAGTTTTAAAAACTTGACCCTCGCGGCCCGCAATTTGGGACGAGGGCTTTAAGGATTCTTACTCCATTCAAAGGGGGAAGATTTTGTAATCAACATAGCTTGTGCTACGAACAAATTGGAATGCACTTACTTCATCTCCAACCTCTCTTAACGAATCCCTCCCGAGGTTGCTTGTGGTGTCGTGCCTCGCAGCCCTTGGCTGCTCCAAACGAGCCCTCCATGATGCTTTCAGTTTGGTGGTCCGCCCCTCCAATCCATTCCCACTTCCTTCCTCCACACTCCATCATCCATTTCTCATTTCACCCTCCTCAGATCCTCCCCCTTGCATATCTCTTTCGTGTGCCTTCCTTCCCTAGCTCATTCCTGCACAAACCAGTTAGCCAGCGCTGTCCCATAAACCAGGCTTTTACGTTTCATCTGGGATCAGCTTCTGGTTTCTGTTTTACGTCGTGCTTCCACCCAGTACTTCATCGCCGCGTCGTCCATCTGCTCGTCGACGCTCGTGAATCCTCGTCGTCGTTGGTTGTCCTCTCCTGCGCTCGCTCTTTTTCTGCCACAATTCTCCCGTTGTTCGGCTACATCACGCGGTCCCTAGGCTCGTACATGGAATCGGACGGCGAGGCGATTTTGCCTCGCTCGCCCGACTGCTGAAGCTTTTATGGAAGGTAGCGGTGGTCGTAAGAGGGCTGAGGCAGCAGCAGCAGCAGCAGCAGCAGCGGCTGCACAGGAGAAGGAATCGTCCGCGCGGAGCAGATTCCGCTCCCGCCACCACCTGCGCTCCGCCGTCACCGCGGGTGGCTCGTCCGTTCCTGTTTCTTCATCCTGGTTTCGCGTCTCGTCGTCGTCTCCGTCGGCTGTTCCGTCTTCGTCGTCCGTCGGCCGTCGGATTGCTCTTCACCAGTCGTCCGCGCCGGCCGCAAAGCGCGCTAAGGCATCCGCTGCTGCCGCCGCCGCAGCTGTTTATCCCCCGATCTCTCGCACTTCCGCGTTTCTCGTATCTCCCCCGTCCGTATCCGCACAGCCCTCCGCGCAAGTCTCTTCCGCGCGTGCGCGCCCGTCCGCTTTCTCCCCGCCCTCTGCAAAGCGGCTCACCAGTCGCGTCACTTTCGCTGCGCCCCCGTCTTCCGCTCATCGCGCGGAATCTCGCGACTCGCATCAGGTGAAATCACGCGCTGCCGCGAAAGCTGGTGCGACCGCTGCGACAACCACAGCGTCGTCGCGTGGTGCGAATACCACTAGCGCCAACCTCACTCGTCCCGGTTCCGCTCCCCCCCTTGGTGCTGCGGCGGCTGGTCTCGCCAGTACCGCGGGTGCAAAGGCGAGTGCACGTGCCCCTGCTGTGAGCGCTTCCGCAGGTGGCGCAGTTGGCGGAGGAGTAGGCGGAGCGAGCGGAACTGTTGGTGGCGGTGACACGGCAAGGGGGAGCATGGATAGAGGTTTTTTCAAGTCGTTCGGGCACGAGGAGGGATCCAGAAGCAAGCGCTCCTCCGAGAGAGAAAAGGAGAAGGAAAAGGAGAAAGAGAAGGAGGAGAAGAAGGAGAAGGAGAAGGGAAAAGAGAAAGAGCGAGAGCGGGAGAGGGAGCGTGAGAGAGCGAGGGACAGGGAGCGCGAGCAGGAGAGGGAGGCGGAGGATGGAGGAGGAGACGACGCGGACGATCTGTTTCTAGGACCCGGTGGGCTGCTTTCAGGCCTCGATTCCGATGGCGATGGGGATGCAGCAGCTGCAGCAGCTCTCAGACAGTCATTCACGTCGTCTGCCGGTACTGCTCTGGAGAGTTTGCTCCGCCGCTTCTCCGTCTCCATTGATGATCTCCTCCCGTCTCCGTCCGCGCCTGGCGCCGCCACAGGAGCAGCAGGCGGCGGCCCTAGCAGCAGCAGCGGCGGCGGTGGCGGCGGGGGTGGGGGCGCGGGGGGTGCAGGCGGGAGCGGGTCCGCGTCCGCTCCGGGACCGTCTTCCGCAGCTGCGCCCACGCCCGCGCCCCCGCACGCGCACACGCTCACGCGCGCGCATCTCCCCCAGCCGCAGGGCGGGAGGTACCGATCCATCCTAGCAGGGCTATCCGCGGAGCACGACACAAGCAGGCAGCTGGAGTCGCTCTCTCTCCTCTGCGACCTGCTGCTGATTGGCACAGAGGAGTCCCTCGCGTCGTTCCCTGTAGACGCGTTTGTGCCGCCACTGGTGGCGCTACTGGAGTGCGAGTACTGCCCAGACGCCATGCTGCTGGCGGCAAACGCGCTCACGTATCTCTGCGACGTGCTGCCCAGTAGTGGGTGCTCCGCGCTTGTGCATCACGGGGCTGTGCCGTCTCTCTGCGCGCGTCTGCTCACCATCGAGTACATCGACCTGGCAGAGCAGGTAAGGCCTTTGAGGCGCCTCAACTGACGTGCTGCCCAGTAGTGGGTGCTCCGCGCTAGTGCACCACGGGGCTGTGCCGTCTCTGTGCGCGCGTCTGCTCACCATTGAGTACATCGACCAGAGCAGGTGGGAGAGCAGGGGGTGAGGAGAGGGTCCCAGGGGTGGGGCTTGGGCCAGAGCTCAACTCTACCTCTCTGTCTGTGTGTCTGTCTTCCTACCACCACGCCATGTAGGCTCGTTCCTTCTCAGCTGGTTGAGTCAGTTGTAGGATCATTCTAATGATGTCTATTCTATTCCACTCCATCTCGATTTGATCGATCTTCCCTGCCCTCTTGTACCGTCCCGTACCCTCCCCTGCCCTCCCGTGTCCTCCTCCCTGCGTCAGTCGCTGCAAGCGTTGCAGAAGGTATCTCATGAGCATCCCTCAGCATGCCTGCGTGCCGGTGCACTCACTGCCGTGCTCTCCCATCTCGACTTCTTTTCCACCAGCATCCAGGTTTGTGCTGTGGTGTCTTACTGGTCAAAGTCACTCAGTGCTTCACTCAGTCTCGCGTCTCACATGCGTAGCAAACACGCTTTGGGTTTATCAACCAAGTTTGACAGAATCTCACCCTCTTTCGTCGCTCCACTGCCCTCGCACAACCTGCCTCCTCTCTCTTTTCGTCAACTCTTGCGTACCTCTCTTTGTATAAATCCCCTGCCTTTTCATCCAACCGCCTGCCTCCCTGTTTGGCCCCAGCTCCCCCACCCCACCCTTTCCCCCTTCTCCCCTGCCGTGCCCCCCCCCCCTGCCCCACCGTTTCCCCTCTCCCCCTGTCCCCCTGTCCCCCTCCCCCCTGCCCGCGCCGTTCCCATCACGTGGCAGCAAGTGGCGGCGCGCACAGCAGCGAATGTGTGTCGGGACGTGCCCTCAGACTGTGTGCCCATGCTGCTAGAGGCATCCCCCGTGCTCGCTAACATGCTGCAGCACTGCGACGCCAAGGTGCGTGTTTCAACCACTGCTTGCAAGGTGACTCTTTAGTCGACTCAAAAGTGTGCCCATGCTGCTCGAGGCATCCCCCGTGCTCGCTAACATGCTGCAGCATTGCGACGCCAAGGTGGGTGTTCCGACCACCACTTGCACCACCCACTCCTTGCATTGCACCTCACGCACGTCTGGCCCATCTCTTTGCCACTCTCCGCTCTCCTCTCCTCCTCTCTTCCCTCTTTTCTCCCATGCAATCTCGATCTGCACAGGCGTTTCTTCTGCCCTCCAGCCCCCCCGCTCCCCACCTTCTTCTCTCCTTGTTGTTTTCTGTCTCTTTCTGCATCTCACACACAGTAGTTTAGTTTCTGCAGGATCTAAACGTGTCTAGTACGGTAGTTCCGATTCCGACTAGACTACAAGTAGGAGTTCGTGATGTAAGCGGAAACCAGAGAGAATAAACACAATAAGCGAACAAACAAACAAACAAACTAATATTTCCCCATCCCCCCCTCCTTTCCTCCCTACGCCCACCTTCCCTCCCCCAGGTGGTAGAGAGCACGTGCATCTGCCTGACCCGCATAGCCCTTGCAGTTTCGGCCAACCCAGAGCATCTCGCCACGCTCTGCGCCTCCTCGGGTCTCATCTCCCACGCTGTGCGCCTGCTCGCCGCCACCTGCAGTGCTGCCGGGGTGGGGGGTGCAGCGGTGTCGGGCGGAGGGGGAGGGGGCATGGGAGGGGGTGTGAGCATCACGCCGACGACCTTTGTGGTACGCAGAAAGGACGCTCTTGTCGCTTTTGCTTGCTCCCCTCCCCTCTGTACTTGCATGCGTTCGTGAGCGCGCGCGCGCGCGCGTGTGTGTATGTGTGCATTTTTGCGTTTCTTTTTGTTTCTCCTGATCACATCACTTTATTGCATCACACCATATCTCTTCACCAGACGAGCTCTCGTAGTGCTATAAGCCCCCCTCCACCCCTCCTTCCTCAGCTTCCCTTATCTCCCCCAACCCCCCATCCCCCTCCCCCCAGGGTCTGCTGCGGCTGCTCACGCTGTGTGCGCGGGAAGCAGAGGGAGCATCAGAGACGCTTCTATCAGCAGACATTATCCGCCTCCTACGCAACGCCCTCCTCTCCTCGGGCCTCCACGCCCCGCCCCACTCCACCGCTGCTGCTGCTGAGGGTGATGCATCTGTTTCTTCATTGGGCTTTACTGTTAGCCCTGCCGGGATGTCTGCGTCAAGTGGTGGAGGGGGGAGTGCAGGGGGATTGGGGCCGGTGGCAGCTCCTTCTGCTGCTCCTCCGGGGCTGACCAGGCCTGTGGAAGAGGTGAGGAGGAAGGGGAGAGGACGGACGGGTTGTTGTGTTGGTGGTTTACAGTTTCCAATCGTTTCAGCTTGTCCATCTGGTTTTTGAGAATTCTAAAAAACTAGCTTTTATCTGTTTCATCTTCTCACTAGTACTCAGTTCATTTCATTCCCTCGCTCATGATGTGCTCGATGTTAAGAGATTGCAACGAGTCCAATTCTCTCTTTTGTTTTTTCTTTTCATTCCTGACTTTTTTTCCTTCTCTCCCTGTCTTTCTTCTTCTCCACGGAACCCCATCCATTATTTCCTCTTCCTTGCACAGGTGTACGAGATTCTTGCTCTAGCCAATGAGCTGCTGCCACGTGCAGTGGAGGAGGAACTGGAGGAGGGGGAGGTGTTATCTGAGGACATATCATGTGATGAGAGCGAGGAGAAGGACGTTACACAAGGCGAGGAGGAGGAGGGGAATGGAGAGGAGGAGAGTGAGAAGAAGGAGAATGGGAAGGAGAAAAGGGCAGGAGAGGACGGTGCTGCAGCAGCTATGGCTGATGGTGGCGAGGAAGGGAAGGGGAGTGGGAAGGGCAAGGGGAAGGAGAGGGAGGAGGCGGATGGGAAGGGGAAGGGGAAGGAGAAGGAGAAGGGGAGGGGGATGAGTGATCGGGCGAGGCAGAGGGCGTTTCAGCAGGCACCAGAGGGGCTGGCTCCGTTTGTCTCTGACTTGTTCCCTCTCATCATGCAGGTGCGTGCTGCTGCTGCTGCTGCTCTAGCTATGCTGCATAGTTTGGATAGAACGAATGGCAGATTGAGGATTCATGTTCATGAGCTGCAATGTGAATGGGGTTCATGGTGGTATGCTCTGCTGCCTCATCATCCTCCTCCTCCTTCTTGTATCAACACTTTCTATCACACTCCTCATACTTCTCTTTCCGTGTCATCATGATTTAGTCACCTCCTGCACCCTCTGCCTCCCTCCTCCCATCCTCCCTACCTTCTCTGCTTTCACACAACCTGAGCCCATCGATCACAGACGCATATCAATCCTCATGGTACTTGGAAAACAGAACAATCAATTGAATGAACGAAAACAAACAACACACAATTCTCCTCCCCATGAATTCCACAATTCTGCTGCTGCTCCCGTGTGGCAGGCGTATGGAGCGACAATGAACGTGGCAGTGCGGCACAAGTGTCTCGAGATCATCTGCAACGTGCTACTGCTCTCCACCCCCACCACCATGCCCCTCCTCCCACCAGCCTCTTCAATCGCTAGGTACTCTCCCGTCCCTCCTGCTGTCCCTGCTGCCCTTGCTGCCCTTTCTGCTGCCTGCTCTACTGTCTGTTCCTTGTTGCGCTACATACCACCCTTTCCTTCCCCCCCAGCGGCTTTCCTCCCCTCCTCCTCCTTTGGACAGCTTTTCCCAACGCTTCCGTCCCCTCCCCTCCCCTCTCCTCTCATGGAACTCTCTTCTCCCAGCCTATCAATCCCCATGCATATCGTCCCCACCACTCCTCTCACTCATCGCACCCCTCTCTCCCTCCCATTCTCTCTCTCCAGTTTCCTGGCGGACGTCCTCTCCTCCCAGGACGCGTCCCTCCAGCTGCAAGCGCTGCGCATCGCCTCTCTGCTGCTGCACAAAGACGCACACACCTTCCGCCTGCCCTTCTCCCGCGAAGGCACGCTCTTTGCTATCCAGAACCTTATCCCTGCTCGTGCCGCCGCCGCTGCTGCAACTGCTGCCGCTGCCGCTGCCGGCTCCTCTCCCGCCTCCCGCCGCTCCCCTGTCAAGAGAAGTTCGTCTGATGGTGGTGGTGGTAGTGGTACTGGTGGTTCTGGCGCTGCTCGTTCTCCTGCCCGTCCACCTCCTCTCTCCCCTCTTCCACCCGCGGCTTCTGCCTCTGCCACTGCCGCTGCCGCTGCTTCTCCTACTCCTGCAGCGCCTGTTGGGAAAGAACAAGGTAAGAAGTATGCTGTAAAGCATTCTGCTAGTGCGCCTGCGTCCTCTACCCCTGCCAAGCACGCAGCATCGTCATCATCACCATCACCATCAGCAGCAGCAGCAGCAGCAGCAGCAGCAGGTTCGCTTGGAGTCCTCTCAGACCGGAGCAGGAAAGCAGCAGGGAAAGAAAAGAAGGGCGCGGGTGGTTCAGCTAGTGCTGCTTCTGCTGCTGCTTCCGCTGCTGCGTCTGCTGCTGCTGATGATGCAGCCCCTTCAGCCTCACCAGGGTCGAGCGCAGCCAGTTTCGCGCGCTGGATGGCTGCAATGAGCAAGCGAGGCAAAGGCAAGGGAGAAGCAGCAGACGGGCCGGGCGCGAAAGACGCAGCTGAGCCTGGTGAATCAACCAAACACGACCAGCAGCAGCAGCAGCAGCATCGTCCCAGTACCTCTGCTGCAGTAGCAGCTGCTGCCGCTGCCGCGGCTGCGGCTTCAGTGCCACGTCGTGGTGGCGGCAGTTCTTCTGCCCCACCAGCATCCTCAGCAGCATCACCTTCGGCGGCTCGAGCGGCGGCAGCAGCAGCGGTGCAGGCGGCAGTGGCAGCGCAGGCGCAGCAACTGCATGAGCACTTCTTCCCCACGGGATGGCGGGCTAATGAGCCCTCTGGTGCTGCTGATGGGCTATTGCAACTGCAGGCTCTGTGCCGAGAGATTCAGGTAGCAGGAGGAGAGACGCCGAGTCAGGGAGAGAAACAGGGACAGGCGGGGGCAGCTGCAGGGGGAGAAGCAGGGGCAGGGGCAGGGGCAGGGGAACAGTCCGAGGGTTTGAAAGCGAAGGTGGGTAGAGGCTGGGGAAGTGAGGTGAAGCAGGGGGAGGAATCAACTGGGTTGGTGGTGAAGGCGACGAGGGGGTGGGCTGTGGAGATGGTGGAGCGACTGAGGCATGACACAGCTGTGCTGTGCCAGGTGCTGGGCATGCTCGCAGATAGACGCGCAGGGAGTGGCGGCGCTGGTGCCACTGCTGCTGGCGCTGCTGCTGCTGCTGGTGGTGGTGGTGGTATGGGAAGGAACGGGTCTGTGTCAGTGACAACGTTTGAGCTAGTGGAGGGGGGTGTGCCCTCTGCTGTGCTCCGCTTCCTCTCCCCTTCTTCTCCCCCTCCTCGCTCCTCTCGCTCTTCTGCTGCGTCTGCTGGCAGCAGCGGCAGCAGCGGTGGGGAGGAAGGAGGGAGCCAGGTGTCAGGCTTGGATTGGTGGGCGCAGCAGGAGCGGCGGCGGTGTGAGGTGGTACTTAGGCTTCAGATCATCACAGCTATACTCTCATCTGCTCTCCCACTCGCCCAATCCGCAGTCTCACACTCCCTCCCATACTCCACCTCCGGACTCACCACCACCAGCGCCACCACCACCATCCTGCACACCCCCGCCTCTCCCGCCTCCCCTCTCGCCCTCGCTTCCCCTCTCCCTCTCGCCGCTTCCTCCCCAGTTTCCGTCCGCTTGCTAGTGCAGCGATTGCAAGCAGCGCTAGCAGCACGGGAGCGCTTTGCAGTGCTGCAAACAGAGCTATTCCAGCTGCCCGGAGGGGCAGGAGGAGGAGCTTTCACTTCCAGCGGCCCCACAGGATCATCCAATCTAGGCCTTGGCCCTGGGGGGACCGTACCTGGACGAACAGGTAAACCAGGCGCCCATGGGTTGTCTCGCTGGCCAGGAGGGTCCGGAGGAGCAGCAGGAGGGGCAGCCGAAGTGGCACTGCTTGCAGCAGAAGCGTCTGCTGCTGCGACAGCGGCTGCAGCAGCAGGGCCGATGGGGACTGGTGGGGTGTCTGGTCTGTCTGCGTTATCACAGCCTATCAAACTGCGGCTGGTGCGGGAGCGGTGTGAGCGGTCGGTGCGGGATTACTCGTCGAATGTGGTTCTTATCGAGCCGTTGGCGACGCTGACTGCAGTGGAGGAGTTTCTGTGGCCTCGAGTGAGGAGGTCACACCATGTGGCGGCTGTTACTGCCACCCCTGCTGCTCCTGCTCTTGCTGCTTCTCCTGCAGCCACTCCTGGTGCGGCTGATGCTGCTGCTGCTGGTGCTGCTGCTGCTGCTGCTGCTGGTCCAAGCAGGGTGACAACAGGGGAAGAGGCCACCAGGGGTGCGCGTGCTATGGACCAGGAGGAAGGCGAGATTGAAGGAGCAGCAGCGGGTAAAGCTGCTGGTGCCGGTGCTTCCCTTTCTCCTGCTGCTGCTTCTTCCCTTGCTGCTGCTGCTGCTGGCGCTGCTGCTGGCGCTGCTGCCACAGGTGTTGGTAATGGCGATGGTGGTGGTAAGTGCAAGAGAAGTCAAGGAAAGGGTGTGGAAACGGAGAAGACAGAAGAAGCGGACGTGGGTGGCAGGGAGGGGACGAGTGGAGGGAAATTCTTAGGGAAGAGTGGGTGGGGGACGCTGAAAGGGAGAGAGAAGGGGGAGGGATCAGGGTCTCGATCGAAACGAGCTGGGAAAGACAAGGAGGGCGAGGGGGCAGGAGGAGGGCAGGAGGCGGATGGTATGTTGAAGAGCAAGGAGGCCGGTGGTAAGGCGAAGGGTAAGAGAGGTGTGTCACAAGATGTTTCAGGGGGGAGGGCGGAAGGTGGGAAGGAGGACGAGAGGAGGGCGGTTGAGAAGGGTGAAGGGAAGTCACGTTTGGGGATGGCGCGAGGGTGGTGGAGTGGGGGGAAGGGGAAGAAAGAAAGCAAGGGAGCTGGCAAGGGTGGGGCGGGGGAGAGGGCTGAGAAGGGGAGGGAGAAGGGAAGAGGGGGCGATGATGGGAAGGGAGAAGCGGGGAGGAATGGAAAGGAGAGGACTGATGGTAAGGCGACAGGGGAGGAAGGGCAGGAGGTGAAGGAGAGAAGGAGGAAGGGTAAAGGGAAGGATGAGAGGAAGGAGGCGAAGGGTGCGGGTGCGGGTGGGGGTGCGGGTGCGGGACAAGAGGAGCAGCAGCCGAGGAGTGAGGAGGAGCCACTTTCCGACCTTGCAGATCTCATGGCCGTACGCCCTTGATGCCCTTGGCTCTCTGTGTCTTGAGTCTTGTGCTCATCTTAATTGGTTTGTCTGCTCTGCTCACACTGCTGAGACTCACTTTTTTCGCCATTCAACTTGCATACTCCGCTGCTGTTTATTCTTTCTTCCCCTTGAGTTGCTTTGTGTTTCCCTTGTCTGTTCAATTCGTTTGGCTTCCCTTGGATTCTTTCAAGACCTCGTCGGTTGACCTGCCATCGCTTATCACGACTCGCCACCTTGTTACCCTTCTGTTTTGCGCCCCTCTTCTCGTTCACAACGTCGTTGCGACCTGCGTGCTTGGCATGACGTTCCACGTTGCATGGCATGGCATGGCATGGCATGGCATGGTATGGCATGGCATGGCATGAGCAGTTGATGAGCGGGCTTAACGCAGCAGGCATGGAGTCAGAGGAGGGTGAGCTGGGTGGTCGAGGTCGGCTGCAGTCTTCCCTTTCAGCACGCTCCCAGACACCACTAGTCGCAGCAGCAGGGGTAGCAGCAGCAGGTGGCATGGTCGCAGGGAGTGGAGAGCGATTGGCGGCAGGATCAAGCGGTGCTGCAGGAACAGGGGCAATGCAGCAGCAGCAGCAGCAGCAGCAGCAGCAACAAGCGATGGGTGCAGGTGGAGAGGAGGAAGAGGGAGGCAGAGGTGCGAGCTCTGCCCTGCCTTGTGCTGCAGGTGCTGGTAGCAGCAGGGCGGGGAACCCACTCACTGAGCCCGTGCCTGAGAGTACAGTAGTCACAGGTGGAAGGAGCAACGGCAGCAGCAGCAGCAGCAGCGCTGCTCTTGCAGCAGCAACTCCTTCTGGTGCAGAAGCAAGGGGGGGAGGAGCAGGTGGGAGCGCGGGAACAGGAGGTGAGAGGGGGGCGACAGTGGCTGCTGCGGTGCATGGGGAGCATCGGTTGGTGTTTTCGTTCCGAGGGGTTCCCTTAGATCCCACTGCCACGATTCTGAGTGTCGTGGTGAAGGGGCTGAGAATGATGGCTGAAGGGGTGGAGGGCGAGAGAGAGGAGGTTGGATTGCAGGAGGAGGGCGAGGAAGAGGAGGAGGAGGAGGAAATGGAGGAGGAAGAAGAGATGGATGAAGATGAGATGATGATGCTGCATGGGGAGGAGAGTGGAGAGGAGGAAGAGGAGGAGGAGGGAGAGGAAGGAGAGGAAGAGGAAGGGGAGGAGGATGAGGAGGAGGAAGAAGAGGAGGGGGAGGAGGTGGAAGAAGGTGAAGAGCCAGGCAGTGAGGGGCATGAAATGTATGTTGAGGAGGGAGGCGAGGAGGAGCAGGAAGAGGGAGAGGAGGAGGAGGAAGAAGAAGAGGGGGAAGAAGAGGAGGAAGAAGAGGAGGGAGAGGTGAAGGAAGACGACGATTTGCTGGTGGTGGAGGAGGAGTTGGAGGAAGGGGAGGTTGACGAGAGTATGGAAGACGATGAGGAGGAGGATGGGGAGGACCGGGGAGAGGAGGAGCAAGAAAGAGACGTTGAGACTGTAGAGATGATAGGGGCTGGAGAGGGAGAGGAGGGGGAAGAATTGGAAGAGGAAGAGGAGGAGGAAGGGGAGGAAGAGGAAGAGGAGGAGATGGATGAAGACGATGAGGAGGATGAAGAAGAGGAAGAGGAGGGGGAGGCGGAGGAGGGGGAGGAGGATGACGCTGACGTGGCAGAGTTTGAGAGGTTTATGGCAGATGAGTTTGGGCTGGCTCTGGGTGGAAGGGGAGGGGGAGCAGGCAGCCGGGGGCGGTGTGCGGATGCTGAGGGGGGAGGTCACAGGTCTCGAGGCATGGGCTATGGGTACACGCATCCCTATGGCAACTCTTCGAAGCAGGGCAGGCATGGCTCGCACGCGCACGCACATGCTCATGCACCAGCTCAAAGGCATGGGTATGGGCTGGGGTATGGTACTCGTGGTAGTGGCGGTAGTGGTAGCAGCGGCGGCAGTGGCGGTGGTGGTGGCAGTGGCAGGGACGGTGGGAGGGGCAGAGGCAGTGCGATACAAGGGGTGTGGGATGGGATTCACGAGATTGCGTATCGGCACGCTGCTACTGTGCCTCCTGCTGCTGCTGCTTCTGCCGCCGCTGGTTCAGCCTCAACTGATGCTGCTACTGGTGCATCAGAGGCAGTCACAAAAGACACACAGAGAGCAGCTGCAGCTGAAGCATCAGGATTAGGATCATCATCATCATCTGCTGCTGCTGCAGTTGCAGGAACAGTAGAAGGGTCATCTCTGCTCCTGCCACACTCAATCAACCCGTCCCTCTCCCCCGTGCGCACTCTCCTTACTGGCTCTCTTTCCACCCCTCTGCCCTCCGCCTCATCCTGCCCTTCTGTGGTTCGAGACCTGCTGCTGCTGCTGCACACACTGCACGCACTCACCCGCTCCTCCCACCAGCTACAGCAGGAGGCAGCAGCTGCAGCTGCTCTTGTTCTGGCCTGTGCCCGCACTGAGGGTGGTTCTGCAGGGGAGAAAGCTGCAGGAGGGGAAGAGGAGGAGAGAGAGGAGGGAGAGGAGATAGAAGAAGGGGAGGAGATGGATGTTGACGAGGTGCCGTCACATCGCAATGGGGCTTCAGCAGCAGCAGGCATTAGCGAACAACTAGAGCAGATCCTGTACACACAGCTAGGGCTTCCCAGGCTCATTCTGGGACAGACGGGTGACGGCGTTGCTCCTGGTGCTGCTGCTGCTGCTGCTGCTGCTGCTCCAAAGACTCCCTCCACCCCCTACGCAACGATCCCTGCTCCAGGCCAGGGTGCCGCCTCCCCTTCCTCCTTCTCCGCGCCGCTCTCTCCCTCGCTCTCCGCCACGTCTCCAGCAGCAACGCTCCTGCAGATCCAGCAGCACATGGCAGTACCCCCAGAGTTGTTTCTCAACACCAAGATCGCCACCAAGTTGCAGCGCCAGCTGCAAGACGCGCTCTCTCTCTGCAGCGACTCGCTTCCCGACTGGGCGCACGCCCTCCCGCGCTCCTTCCCCTTCCTCTTTCCGTTATCCCTCCGCCGCCACTACTTCTACTGCACTGCGTTTGACCTGCTGCGAGGGCTGCACCGCCTGCAGCAGCAGCAGCAGGTGGCGGGAGAGGCAGGCGCGGGAGCGGGAGGAGCAGGGGGAGCGGGAGGAGGAGGAGGCGGAGCAGGAGGGGGAGGAGGGGGAGCGTACGGCCGGGACAGGCGGCGGGAGCTGCGGCCGATCCGGCTGCAGCGGCAGAAGGTGCGGGTGTCTCGCGAGCATATTCTCGAGTCGGGAACAAAAGTCATGGAGCTGTATGCGGGGCATAAGGCAGTGTTAGAAGTGGAGTATTTCGGGGAGGTGGGAACTGGTCTGGGTCCTACCCTCGAGTTCTACACACTCCTATCTCACCAACTGCAGAGGCGCTCCCTCCGCCTGTGGCGCTCGGAGGAAGGCCCGGGAGTGCCCGTGCCTGCAGCTGTAGCAAGCACCAATGTAAGCGCTGGCACCGCTGCTGCTGCTGGAGGGGGAGAAGGAGCAGAGGCGCGCACAGGAGGAGGAGGGGGAGGCGGATCAGGAGGGAAGGGCGTGCAGGGGAGGGGGGGAGTCAGGGAGGGGGAAGAGACGATGGTACTGGCGCCGCAGGGGCTGTTTCCGCGACCGTGGAGGGAGGCGCCAGAGCGGGTGGTAGAGCACTTCAGAATGGCGGGGCGTCTCATGGCTAAGTCTCTGCAAGATGGCCGGCTGCTGGATATGCGCTTCTCCCCGGCCTTCTACCGCCTACTGCTCGATAAGGTATTTGGGAGGTGCTGCTGTCTGTGACTCTGTGCGTGTGCTGGCGTGGCGCCTGGGAGCTCGTTGATTGATGTGGTGGGCCCAGTACAAGTACTTGTATTCATGCGGACGGTTGGCTAGGCCGACTGGGCTGGCTGGGGCACCTGAATTAGCCTTTTTATATAGCTTTCGCCTCTGCCCCCTCCCCCTTCGTTCCCCTTTCTCCGTTGTCCACCTTTCTTTCCCCCTTCACCCCGCCTCCCTCCATCCCTTCTCCGCTCCCCCCCCCTCTTCCCCTCCCCTCCGCAGCCCCTAGGGTTGTACGACATTCGCCTGTTCGACCCCCATCGCTTCTCTGCTCCCACTTCCCTTCCCCTCTCCCGCCTTCGCCCCTGTCCCCATCCGCAGCCGCTAGGGCTGTACGACATTCGCCTGTTCGACCCCGCTCTGGGAAGCACTCTGGAGATGCTCGCACACGTGGCTCGCGTCCTCGCCCTTTGAGACGTCTCAAAACTCGCTTCGCTGCTCCCACGTCCCTTCCCCTCTCCCCCTTACAGCCCCTAGGGCTGTACGACATTCGCCTGTTCGACCCTGCTCTGGGCAGCACTCTGGAGATGCTCGCACACGTGGCTCGCGTCCTCGCTCTCGCACCTGCCGCTACTGCCGCCGCTGCTGCTGCAACCACCGACGCAACTGGCGCAAGTGGCAGTGCTGCTGCAGCAACCGACGCACTCACAAGCAGGGATGCTGACGTCACAGGCAGCAGAGATGGCACGGGTGTCACCAGTGGCAGCAGAGAGGGCAGCAGTGGCGGCAGTGTGGTGGTGGCGCATGGTTTGCTGCCAGAGGGCATGCTGCTGGAGGACCTGTGTCTGGACTTCACTCTCCCGGGCGACCCCTCCTATGAGCTCAAGCCGGGCGGCGAGGACATTGAGGTTTGTCGCCTTGCTCCTGCCTGCCTGCTGCCTGCTGCCTGCTGCCCGCTGCCTGCTGCCTGCTGCCCGCTGCCAGTTTTACACTTGGAAGTCCGAGCCATGGTTGAGTAGTTGGGTATAAGGAGATACTCATGTGCAAGTGTCAAAACACAACCACACCTTTTCTGTTCTCCGCCATGGTGTCTATTGCACGTTTGTGATGTCCTTTTCCCGTTTTTGCTTTCCCTTTTCCCTTCCCTTCCTTTCCTCCGCTTTCCCCTTTCCTCCCTTCCTTTCCCCCTTCCCCCATCCTCTTTCCCCCTTCTTCCTTCCCCCTTCCCCCTTCCCCCTTCCCCCTTCCCGCTTCCCCCTTCCCCCTTCAACCTTCCCCCTCGCACCTCTCCCTTTCCCCTTTCCCCTTTCCCCCTTCTTCCTTCCCCCTTCCCCCTTTCCCCTCGCTCCTCTCCCCTTCCCCCTCTCCCCCTCCCCCTTCCCCATTCACCTTCCTCCTCTCCCTGGCCCACCGTTTCAACCCCATGCATGGCAACATATTGCACGGCAGGTAGGGGAGGCGAATGTAGCAGATTATCTGCACCTAGTGGTGGGTGCACTGGTGGGTCTCAGCACCCCCCTCTCTCTTGTCCCCTCTTCCCTTCCCCCTCCCCGTTCCAATGTGCATCTCATGGCACGGCAGGTGGGCGAAGCGAATGTAGCAGAGTATTTGCACCTGGTGTTTTGGTGGTGGATGCACTCGTGGGTCTAAAAAATCCCCACCTCTTAACTTCCGCTCTTCCCCTCTTCCCCTCCCCGTTTAACGTGTGTGCCATGCATGCATGCATGCATGGCCTGGCAGGTGGGGGAGGCGAATGTGGCAGAGTATCTGCACCTGGTGGTGGATGCACTCGCGGGCCTCAAAACTCCCCGCTTCTTCCCTTCCCCTCTCCCCTTCCACTGTCCCCTTCCCCCTTCAACGTGTGTGCCATGCATGGCCTGGCAGGTGGGCGAGGCGAATGTGGCAGAGTATCTGCACCTGGTGGTGGATGCACTGGTGGGCCTCAGCACCTACTTCTCTATTTTCCCCTCTTCCCTTCCCCCTCCCCCTTCCAATGTGCATCACATGTCACGGCACGGCAGGTGGGCGAGGCGAACGTAGCAGAGTATCTGCACCTGGTGGTGGATGCACTCGTGGGGTCGGGCATTGCTGCTCAGATCAACGCCTTCAAGCAGGGCTTTAACCAGGTGCGTGCGCGTGCGCATGCAGGAGTATAGGGGCAGGAGGGCAGGAGGGCAGGAGGGCAGGAGGGCAGGGGCTCAGGTAAGGCTAGAGGGAGCAGTGAGGTGGATGGGAAGCGCACTGTGTGTGTGCATGCAGTGCCTCTATCAGAAGCAGCTGGATTGCTCCATCGCCCTTACGTGGCACCTGGTTCAGCTGACTTTTGAGTTGACTCAAAAGGAAGCGCACTGTGTGTGCGCATGCAGTGCCTCTCACAGAAGCAGCTGGATTGCTCCGTCACCCTTGCGTTGCACCTGACTTTTGAGTCGACTCAAAAGGAAGCGCACTGTGTGTGCATGCAGTGCCTCTCTCAGAAGCAGCTGCATTGCTCCGTCACCCTTGCGTTGCGCCTGGTTCAGTCTGTAGGGCGTCAGCTCTTGGGTTCAACGGCTTATGAGTCGACTCAAAACTCGAATAATCGCGCGCGCTGCATCTTTTTCCTCTTCCAACCTCCTCCTCTCCCTCCCTCCTCCCGTCCCTCTCTCCTCTCCCTCGTCTCCCTCCTCCTCCACTCCATGCAGGTCTTTTATCTCTCTTCCCTGCAAGTGTTCACGGAATATGAGCTAGACACCCTAGTGTGCGGGGACCGTCAGATGTGGACTGTGAGTCTACCTTGCCTTGCTGTGTAGTGGGGTGTGGAAGGTGGGTGTTGTGTGGAGGGTGGGAGGGTGGGTGGGACAGGCAGTATGGTATGGTGGTGGATGGGGTGTGGTGTGGAGGGTAAACCGTGCACGGTCGTATCCCCATGCCTTGCTTCATTCTCTTGTCACGTGTGTCCCTCCCTCTGCATTGGTTCATTCATTTGTGTTGGAGTGGCTGTCTGAGAGGATCGAATCTTTCGAAAATATGTGGAAAAAAAAAAAAAAAAAAAAAAAAAAAAAAAAAAAAAAAAACCTGTAATTTATAGAATGATTATCGTTTCTTTGTGTGTTTGATGTGATGTCAATTTTGATGGCTCGTTCACAGGAGGAGATGCTAGCAGAGCACATCAAGTGCGACCATGGCTACACCCTAGACAGCGCCCCCATCAAATACGTAAGCCACCCACCATCATCCATCCCTCCTCCAGTCTCCCATAACACATACATACACCACTCGACCGACCTCGTCTGCACTGCGCTCACCAACTTCACCTTGCGCCCCGTTTTCCAGGCTGGGTTTTGTGAGTCCTTTCGTCACGCACTGAACTTTCAGACTACCCACTCAGGTTTCCACAAGCCATCTGTTGCCCTTCCAAAACCCACTTGGTCAAGCCTGGCCCAGGATGCCGCAGGAAGGACGCTCCACCTCCCCTCCCCACTTCGTCAACCTCCCCTCCCACCTAGCTCTCCCTTCAATGCAATCCCTCACCTTGTCCCCTCCCTCTATCTCTCCTCCAGCTGCTGAGAATCCTAGCAGCCTTCACCCCCCAGGAGCAGAGGGCCTTTGTGCGCTTTGTCACGGGTGCGCCCTGCCTGCCCCCGGGGGGGCTTGCATCGCTGCGCCCCAAGCTAACCATCGTCAGGAAGGTGCGTCTGCAGGGGCCAGAAGGGGTGAGAAGGGGTGAACATGGTGAGCAGGGGTGAGAAGGGGTGAGCAGGGGTGAACATGGTGAGCAGGGGTGAACATGGTGAGCAGGGGTGAACATGGTGAGCAGGGTCAGTAGGAACCCTCTTAGTCTGTCTCCAGTCGTACACTCCCCCCTTACCTCTGTCCCACCTGCATCCTTTCTGCATGCTGCAACCCAGACCTGTCCGCACTTCAAATCAAATCATCTCCCCTGCTCCGCCCCGCCCTCTCCCCCCCTGTTCCATCTGCAGCACCCATCATCATCCCCGGGGAGACCCTCTACCTCCACAGCCTCCCCGCCAGCAGCAGGGGGAGCACGAGCGGGAGCGGGAGCGGGCAGTGCAGGGGGGTCGCCCATGGCAGCGAGTGACATGGACCTACCCAGTGTCATGACCTGTGCCAACTACCTCAAGCTGCCGCCTTACTCCTCCCAGGTGTGTGCTGCTGCTGCCTCACTGCCCCCAATGCGTGCTGCTCTGACGCTTGCTGCGCTGATCCTTGCTCCTCTGATTTTTGCTGCTCCCATGGCTGCCGCACCACAGCTGCTGCTTGTGTGTGTTGGGCCGGGTCCATGCCGCTGAAGCTAGTCATGCCTGTGATCTTGCTGGTTGAGTGGGGTGCCCTGGGATGTGGGGGGGTGTTTCTGTTGCTGTTCATTGGGAGGAGGATGGGTGGGGATTTTTTTACTCGACTAAAAAATCGGCTTCTGTTGCTGTTTGTTGCGAGGAGGATGGGTGGAGATTGCCTTTAGTTTCTGATTTCACTTGCTTGACTTCTTCCTCGTTCTGGCTCCTCTTGAACCAACCAACCTCCTTCGTCCCATCCCGTGAGCAGGAGGTGATGCAGCAGCGGCTGCTGTATGCAATCTTTGAGGGGCAGGGCTCGTTTGACCTCTCGTAAACCAGCATGGTGGGCACAACGGGCACGACGGGCACGGGAGCGGCTGGCTGCTGGAAGGCAGGAAGGCCTCTCGTACGGTATTCTCAAGGGCAGTGCTCTCAGAGGGAGTGCCTGCTATACGCCATTCTCAAGGGCAGCTGGGGTTGGGCAAGAAAGCACCTTCTTTTACCTCATGTCACCTCACCTCACCTCACCTCACCTCACCTCACCTCACCTCTCCTGCCATGGGCGTATGCCATAGAGAACAGCAAACCTTGGCCACGGGGGAAGAAGTAAAGCGAGCAAGGTTATCACCGTGCTTGTGCTGAGCTCCATCCATGCGGCTTGGCGCAGTGCGAGGCAGGCGAGAAGTTGGGAGCAGACGAGAAGTTGGGTGCAAAGTTGCAAACGACTCTTGCGAAAGGCCGAGACACCAACAGAGAATCGTCTGTATACCACTTGGGGACTATGACTTTGGGCTTCTTGCCGTGTGCCTGACTCCAACAGAGGTTTGGTTGCCGTGTGCCGGGAGCTCCTCTGCTTGCCTCCCTTAGGGAGCAAGTGAGGTTTGGTTGATAATTGTTCATCCTGCCTAAGGATTTGGTCTCCTCTCATGCAGTCAAGCTGTCTGCCTGATTCCTTAGCTGCCGGGCTTGACGTAGGGGTTGATTCAAGCATATATTGTGAGATCTTGAACAATGCTTGTGTCTCGTCATGCTGCTGCATGTCGCATCAAACTCTGTACATTGGGAACTTGGAAACTGCTTCGGAGCTTTGACACATTTTGCTTGGACTCATGCATTGAATTGATACGGTAAGACATGCAACATCACAGGATCATGGACTGCAAACTACACCATATGGTATATGTGCACAGGAACCACAGTATTGTAAGAGATGTACCATTTTGCTTCAAATCTCCAGAGCAGCAGCAGAGGAATAAATTGGAGTCCAGATCCTTGACTAATGTTCTCAGCTACGGTATTTCTCAACGACTGCCATCATTCCTACTTCACTATCAAAGCATTTCAATCAACCTTAGCATATCCCTGTTCAGTCTACAAGCAAGCCATGACCACTCTGCCAGCATTCCCTGTTCGTATACTAACTGGTGGATGCACCGTTATGCAATGGGAGGAACACACAAAGATGGGGCCTGCCTGCCTTTGAGAAGTCTTAGGGTGCAGAGCAGATGCGATTTGTATGTGTGCAAGAGGCTCTCCCTGCTAAGCAGGTGCGCAGGAAGGTTTCAACCGGGAGTAGCTCAAGCTACATCTGCGGTGCGATCTAATGCACTACCAGTGCAGACAGTGGAAGTGTGTTGTCTACAGGTGCGCAGGGACGTGTGTGGGTGGGGGGAAGTGGCTGACTGGAGAGAGAGAGAAGTGAGGTGCAGAAGTGTGCGGGGAACAGAGAGGGGGAGAGAGAGGGGGGGAAGAGGGAGAGGGAGAGGGAGAGGAAGAGGAAGAGGGAGACGGAGGCGGGGACTGAGAGAAAGAGGGAGAGGGCGAGGGAGAGAGACAGAATATAGTAAGAGTGGAAAGGAGGAGATTTTCTATCGCAGGCGCAGGTGCTGCATGGCGCGCAAGGGAGCCTTGTCCACCCCTGCAAGCGGTGACTGCCGGCCCTGAGACGCCCCCCCTGCCGCCGCCTGCTGTTGCTGCTGTTGCTGCTGGAGCTCCGGGTGTAGCATCTGATATGGAACCCGTCGGGGAGGAGGGGAGGGCAGGTTGAACGGAGGAAAACGAACGGGAGGAAGGGATCAGCCAATTAGAGACGAGCGTGAACGGCCAAGGCGAGAAGCACATCAGCTAGGACGGAGCTAGAGCAGAGCAGGGAAGGGTGGCAAAGCAGCAGCAAAGGCATAACCATTGTTGCACGGGCCCCTGCACTCATTATCCACGAGTTCTATTTGAGTCACTCTTGACTGATCCCACACAGCTGATTCGAGTCATTTCATCGGTCACCCCTTACTCCCCGCCACGACTCTCAACAACACCCCACCTTGGCCCCTTCCTTGCTCGCCCTCCCACCCTCCACTCTCAACTCGTTTCGTACTCCCCATGCCCTCCTCCCATATTAGCCAAAACTCTTGGGCGTTGCATACGAAGCACTCCTGGACTTCCAAAGCCATCACATCTTACTCCTCACTCCCCCACTCCACCCCACTCCAGCTCACCTAGACGCACACCACCTCGCCCACTGCATCCCCTCCCCTCCCCCCCCACCGCACCTGGTTGAGAGCATCCCCCCGGCGGCGCATGCGAGTATGCAGCAGCCCCTTGGCGCGGCGCACGTGGTGGGCGACAAACGAGTGGAAGGAGCACACGTGCCACGCCACGCGCTCCACGCGCGGCCCCTCCACGTGCCGCCGCCCCACCTGCAGCGTCACGAACCCCACGTTCGCTGTCAGGTACTGCGCTGGTGCGCCGTCCAGGTCTGGGGGGAGCGTGCGGGAGAAGGAGCACTCCGGCGCCCATGAGAGTCCCCCCCCCTTGCGCGCCTCTGCTAGTTCCTGGTGGGGGGAACGGGGACCGGGAGGGGGAACGGGGGAATGGAAAGGGCTGGCGCGCCGTCCAGGTCCACGGGTAGAGTGCGCGAGAAGGAGCACTCTGGCGCCCATGACAGCCCCCCGCCCTTGCGCGCCTCTGCTAGCTCCTGGTGGGGGCAACCATTGGGGGGGACGGGGATGGGGACGGGGGAAAGAAATGGGGCCGGGGTGCCGTATGGAGGGGGATGGGGAATGGGTAGGGGAACGGGGGAGATGCGTGGGGAGGTGCAAGGGGGAATGGACGGGAAAAATAGGGATGGGGAGAGAGGGACCAATGGGGTGGGAGAAAAAAAGGGGGAAGGGGGGGGGGAGAGGGGGCGGAGGGAAGGGGGCGGTGGTGGCGGAGCTGGGGAAGGGCGGGGAGGTGGGAGAGTGTATTTAGATGAATTCAGGGTTTGTAGTCTTCACACGCACCACCTGCCTCATCCTTCACGCAACCTTCTCACCTGGCGCACCTGAGGCACCTGAGTCACACGAGTCACACGAGTCAACCCCAGCGCACCTGGAGGAAGGCGGCAGCGAGAATGGCGTCGCTCGGATCATGGAAGTGCACGGGGAAAATGATCTTCACGTGATCGCCCTTGCTCGACAGCGACGCGAAAAACACCTCCCCGGGCCGGTGCACCATGGCCTTCATCGCACTCCCCCCGCCCGCGCCGTCTTCCCCACCCGCCTCCCCCCCCGCGCCCTTCGCTTCCCCCGCTCCGCCTTCCGCCAGCGCGGTCAGCATGGCGCGCAGCGGCGCGCCGAGGACGACTGACCGCACCCCGGCTAGTTTCGCGGCAATCGCGGCGCGCGCTTGCTGCTCCTCCGGAAGCTTCTTAAGATCAACCATCAGGGTAAGGTGGTAGTTGCTCGACGGCGGCGTCAGCACCGTCGCGATCCCACGGTACGCCGCGTTTACCGCGTCCATCGCGCCACTTGGCAACCCGTCACTGGTCGCTAGTTCAGGCGGGATCACCGCCGCTGCGGCGGCGGCTGCTTCCGCGGGATCTGCGGCGCTTGTTGCGGCGGTGTGTTGGGGAAGGTGTACGGAGAGGAGAATAGTGGATGCATCCTCGTCTTTAAGTAGGTATCGCACGCCATCGAACTCTGCGACGAAAACATCGACCGTCGCAGCGGGCTCGCCAGGTCGCATGCGACGCAGGAGCGCCTCTTTCAATGCGCGATTTTCTTCGTCGTGGGCCGCCGCCATGCTATACTCGACTTGATCCCTATGCGTGACAAATAGGCTAGGTAGTTTCGTGAGGAAGGGCAACGTGGAAATGTAACAATGTAAGCGAAATCGGACTGGAAGAAGGCGACGACGTGATTTAATCTATCTGTGCCATGATGCGAAAGAAAGAAAGCAAAAAAAATCCTCTCAGCAGCAAACGTCCTCGTCGTCGATTAACTTACAGCGCCGCATTAGCAGGAGAGGATATAAGGAGGTGACCAGCGCAGACCCTAATCACTGGCGGCCGTGGTTGCGCTGCGACCTCTAAATAATGTAATATAGCCTGTGGTTGAGTTGTCCACTCATACATTCACAAGGAGCTGGATTCGTGTAGAATAATTTGACGACAACGAATAATTTGACGACAACGAAGCACTGACAAGAGCGTATAGACTTGATGGTACAGTTCTCACGTACAGTGTTCCATCACAACAAAGTACAGTGGTGCAATTTACTGTACTTGCAGTTTCCTCATTCTGTGCTCTCAGAAAAAATGACTGCGTTTGTGTCACATCTGTTATTCAAGATTATAACGAGTGTGGCATTACAAAGGGAGATGGAACCCTGGTTTTGGAACCCTTGATCGTGCGCCAGCCCTTGGTCAGGAACCTTTGAACGCGGAGATCCCAGGCAGCCCTTGGCGGCGCGACGTGCTGTCACGCGCCCACTCAAAACGAGCACTCCTCCCCTTGCCCTCGACACAATGACCTCCGGTGCGGCTCCACTCAGCATCAGTCACGAGGATTCGAGAAACACTTGGATGAGGGCAGAACAAAACGTTTCCAGCCCGCGCACTTATCATCCTAGGCTATTATAGCCGTCGATTTATCATATCGAAGCTGTCCATGATATCTACGGGCAAATTACGAGTCGCAATGAAGGTACAGGCGAGTCGCGCATGTCTTCCCGTGCGCACAAGCAATCCAAGACATCTGAAGGATTTGAACAAGGCTGACCAGGCGAGAGAGTCACGAGTCACACCTCACATCACGACTTCACGAACACATTTCCGCCCGCCCTCACTCCACACCCTCTCGAGCCTCCCTTACTCCATCCCCGGCAGCATTGCGAGTGAGCAGCAGCAGCACCAGTAGCGCCCCGCAACCAGCACCTCCTTATTACCTTACTTCCCTGCCCTGCACGTGCTCGATGCCCTTGACCCGTACACAGTTACGTCCCTTGCCTTCTCCTCTCAGACCTTCGATTGCTAATGCATGAGACTCTCTCGAGCCATCCATGAACGCCATCCCTTCTCCACATTCAACCCTCTCTTTGTTTCTCCCTTTTAGTTTCACCCCAGCTCCGTTACGATTACACCTGTGACTTGGCAGCACGTTCATAGAGACTCGGTCAGCGGCGTTAGCAAGCATAAGGTTGCGTAGAGTACAGCGCAGTTTCCGTGCCCCTGAAAGCTCGACCTTTAGCGATTGCCAGGAGAATCTCTCTTCCAGCTGGGGACTAGGTAACACGCGCCTGTTCTTTCAAATTCATCTCCAGTAGCCACTGCCGATCTGGTCCCATCTACCCGCGTGAATCTCTTAACGGATTAGTTTCATGTCAAGCATCCACACACCATCTCCCGCCTGTTCCTCCGCGCGCCCCTAAATCCGCAGCATCTCGGGCGTCGGCAGAATCGCTAGCATCGCCATCACCTCTAGGTTTGGCAGCCCCGCTATCACTGCCAACCAATATCGTTATCCACGATGGGGGACAAATGGCTTAACCAGGCTGTAAGAGGCCGCAAATGCAGCAGCACCCCCAAACACCTCTCTAAGCAGCCGCGGCGCTCTTTTCCTCGGGATTCCGGGCCCATGTGGGACCACCACACGCAGGAGCGCCGCCGCCTAGTGCGGCCTCCATGGCGACCTGCGGCGATGGAGGGAGCCTATGACGAGGAGGAGGAGGACGAGGAGGATTCGTCGGAGGAGGAGGAGGACGAGGAGGACGAGGGGTGCTGGGCGCACTGCTGCGGGGAGTGCGTGCGGTGGCAGCGCGTGTGCGCGGCGCTGCTGGCGTTTACGATCATCACCGCGCTGCTATACTCTCTCTTCTCCGCCGCTGAGATTCTCCCCGTACGCTCCGCTCCGCTCCCCGCCACTCCGCGTCCCCCGCTTTCCTTCCCCTACTCGTGTTCCTCATAACTCCCCGCTTCCAACATCTGCGCTGTTGTCCCTTCCGATCCCCCTTCCTCCTCCCCACCCTCCCTTGCAATAACGCAACCACCACTCACAACGCAACGTACATTGACATTCCTTTCCCCTAATCGCGTCCTTCTCCCTCCTTCATTCACTCTCTTCCTTGTCTACCTCATCATCCGCCCCCCCCCCCCCCCCCCCCCCCCCCCCTCCCCCCGCTTCTCCCGCGCGCGCATCGCAGTCGTCGTTGAGTCTCGCCATGTCAGCTCCGGAGCAGACGTCATCCAGTCAGCCACTCATCAGTGTGGAGCCATCAGGTTCGCGCACTCTCCAAGCCCTCTCGACTCGCCTTCTCTACTCTCCCTCTCTACTCCCACTCTCCTCCGTTTTCCTAGTTCTATCCTCGTGTCCGCTATTTTCCCTCCTAACCCCGCTTTCCGCCCCCCCTTAACCACACTCGTATATTCCGCGCTTTCCCCGTATTCCCCCTCCCACTTGCGCTCTGCCAGCCCCCGACAGCCTTGCGCTTGGAACCATGTTCCCCCCGCTCGTCCCCAACGCGGCGCAAGCGCAGCAGGCGCAAGAACAGGCGCAGCAGGCGCAAGAACAGGCGGAGCAGGCTACAGACGCGCCTCAAAAGATGTTCCCCGCGCTTACCCCCAACACCGCGCAGCCGCAGCAGCTGCAGCCGCACTTGCTTCACCAGCAGTTGCAGCAGCAGCTGTTGCAGCAGCGGCAGCAGCAGGAGCAGCTGCAGCGGCTGCAGGAGCAGCAGCAGCAATTGCTGCAGCACTTTCAGCAGCAAGTTCTGCGTCCCGCGCACGCGCAGCAGTTAGCGCGGCCGGTAGCTCTTGGGGAGAACCCAGCAGCGGGCGAAAGGCCTGTGATTGGAATATCCGCAGTGGGTCAGGGTGAGGTACCCACTCCAGCAGTGGCTTCACAATTGCGGCAACAACCGCCGCAAGAGCCGCCGCTAATGGCAGCGCGGGTTCCGCAGCAGCAGCAGGTGCAGGCGCAGCTGCCATCGCAAGAGGCGGAGGCGGAAATGGAGATTCAAGCGCAGGCGGAGGTAGCGGCGGGTACTTTGGCGCAACAGCCAGTGCAACAGTCGGCGCAGCCTGCCCCTCAGGCGGAGATCGTTTCCCTTCTGGACACGCGCGCTGCGCGCACCTCCGCGCGGCTAGGCGGACACGCGCTGGGGGGATGTGGAAAGACATTCCCGCTCGCCGCCGAGGTATGAGCTGATCCATGGTAGGACCCCACTTACCCATGGAAACTCTTCCTTCCTCTTTCTTCCTCACCATTGCGCCTCATTGCGCCTCATTGCGCCTCATTGCGCTTCATTGCATCGTTCCTGCTCGGTGATGGTTGTAACAGCGCCTCAAATCAAGGTCGGATATCGGCAAACCACTCCGCCATCAATCACGTTGCTCCCCACTCTACTCCACTCCATATCACCACTCCGCTCGATTCCATCCCCCGTGCCTCTCAATCGCGTTGGCTCCTCAACCCTCCCCTCTCAATCGCTCGATCCCTTCCGATCCTCCCCTCCCCCTTCCCTCCGCCCGCCCCCTCCCGCGCAACCGCGGATGCGACAGGGCGCACCGGGCGGAGGGCAGCACCGCAAGGTGAAACTCGACGACTGCAACCCCGCCCCCGCCGCCGTTTCCGCTTCCGCTTCCGCCTCCGCCGGTTCCGCCGCGCAGATCCCGCCATCAGATGCGCCCGTTGACGTGGCGTTTGATGATTCGACAGGTGAGCGCCAGCAGCGGGGGATAAGGCGGAGTAAGTGGCAGGTGGTGGGTGGCTGGGAAGGGGGGCAAGAAGAGCGGGGAGGGGGAAGTGGGAGGAGGGGTGGAGGTGGAATAGGGAGGGGTTGGTATTGCCGTTGCCGTGTGCTCGATCAATGCCACGTGTAAGAGAGGCAGAGAGGCAGAGAGGCAGAGAGACAGAGAGGAAGAGAGGAAGAAAAGCTGAGAGGCAGAGAGGAAGAGACGCTGAGAGGCAGAGAGGAAGAGACGCTGAGAGGCAGAGGGGAAGAGAAGCTGAGAGGCAGAGAGGAAGAGAAGCTGAGAGGCAGAGAGGAAGAGACGCTGAGAGGCAGAGAGGAAGAGACGCTGAGAGGCAGAGAGGACGAGAAGCTGAGAGGCAGAGGGGAAGAGACGCTGAGAGGCAGAGACGAAGAGAAGCTGAGAGGCAGAGAGTGTTCAAGTGTTGCCTTGTGCATGCTTCTCTCACCCGCCCTCCCTCTCGCACGCCCGCAGATGTAACTGTTCCGGGCGTTTCATCTCTGGGGGAAAGCAATCCGGGACAGCAGCAAGATGAGGAAGGGGGGGCAGCGCAGGCTGAACCAGAGGAGGAGCAACAGCAGATGCAGCCGCAACAGCAACCCCAGGAGCAGCAGGAGCAGCAGCAGCAGCAGCAGCAAGAGATGCAGGTGCAGTTGGAAAATACACAGCCTCTCCCAGCTGCCACTGTCCCTGCTGCTGCTACTGCTCGCGTTGCTAATGCCGGTGCACCTGGGCTCACCAACAGCGCTGCAGCAGCAGCTGCTGCTTCCACCAACCCACATCCCCCCAACTCTCCGTTCTCCTCTTCTGCTAACCCCTCCCTGTCCTCCGTCTCCTCCGCCTCTGCTGCTGCTGCTGCTGCTGTCACCACTCCAGCCCAACGGCCATCGCAACAACGTTTTCAGACAAGTCAACCCGATCCATCCCAGAGCATAGGGGTAGGTCCTGGCGGTCTAGCAGTGGGTGGAGCAGGCACTGCAGCAGTGAATGCTGCAGGCGGTGGTGTAGGGGGTGCTGTTTCCGGTGCTTCCTGGCCTGCAGAGCCCCCCCACACCTTCCGTGGCTCGCCCTCCCACACGCTACCGCAGCTACAGCAGCCACAGCAGCAACCACAACAGCAACAGCCGATGCAGCAGCAGCAGCAGCAACTGCAACCGCAGCAGCCGCAGCAGCAGCTGCCACAAGTGCCGCCAGTGACCAGAGAACCAGAGCCACTGCCACCCCAGCAGCAGCAGCAGCCACAGCAACAGCAGAGGGCGAGGGGCGGGCGAGGGGAGGAGGGAGACAGCATGATGGCAACGGCGTTCCGAGCGTGCATCGACCACACGCGCGTGCAGAGAATGGGTGAGCGACACGTGGCATGGGAAGAGAGAGAAGGGAGTTTGTACTTCTTCCCACACTCTTGGGAGGTTCACTCTTGGGAGTTTGTACTTCTTCCCACACTCTTGTACGTGCTTCAAGAGGCAGAGTATTCTGGTCACCACTCTTCAGAAGCGTTGTAAGTCCCCTGTTCCGCCCAACCCCCCTCCTACCCTCCAGCGGAGCACTCGGGGTGGCCGTACCTGGTGGTGCGGGGAGCGCATGTGGGATACACGCGGCAGTAGGATCTTTCCATTTTCAGCCCGCCTCAAATCCCCCCTTCCCCCCTTTTTCCCCCCTTACCCCCTCCCCCATCTTCTCCAGCGGAGCATTCGGGGTGGCCATACCTGCTGGTGCGGGGAGCGCATGTGGGGTACACGCGGCAGCAGGAGGCGCTGCTGCGGGCGCTGTGGGTAGCAAGGGCGACAGGGTCGGTGCTGGTGCTGCCGGCGTTCTATAAGAGCTTCGCCACACACCCCTCACAGGAGACAAGCCTAGAGCAATTCTTCAACGCTCAGTACCTCATCACACATGTGCGTGCTGTGCGGTGGGGAGTGGTTGGGAGTAGTTGGGAGTGTGGGGAGTGGTGGAGTGCGGTGGGGAGGGGTGAAGAGGGTCAAGGTGATATGGGGTGGTGCAGTGTGGGGTGTGTGTCGCCACGCACCCCTCACAGGAGACAAGCCTAGAGCAGTTCTTCAACGCTCAGTACCTCATCACACACGTGCGTGCCGTGCGGTGGGGAGTGGTTGGGAGTGTGTGGGAGGGTGGGGAGTGGTGGAGTGCGGTGGGGAGGGGTGGAGAGGGTGAAGGTGATATGGGGTGGTGCAGTGTGGGGTGTGTGTCGCCACGCACCCCTCACAGGAGACCAGCTTTGAACAGTTCTTCAACGCTCAGTACCTCATCACACACGTGAGTGCTGTGCGGTGGGGAGTGGTGGGAGGGATGGAGAGTGACGTGGTGGGGTGGGGTGGAGTGGAGTGGCTTGGGTTGGGGTGAGGCGGGTGTTGTTGTAGAACATACAGTGATTCTCTGCCTGCTCATGTGCCTCATGTGCCTCATGTGCCTCATGTGCCTGAAGGGACTAACCGATCATCATCCTTTCTGTGTCTCCTGCCCTCTCTATTCGCTCTTATCCCCCCTCCCTTTCCCTGTGTCCACCTCCATCGCCCCTTCTCTCCGTGCTGCTCACGGCCTCAACAGATGTACTGCTCTTCAGGTACAACCCCCTTCCACTCCTGCTCTTCACTCTCCAGTTTCTTAGGCGCATGAAACACTAGCCATCTCTCCAATCAACGACACTTCCCCCCCTTTCACTCACTCTCATCTTCTTATCGCCATCCCTATCCTCATCCCCATCCTCATCCTCGTTCTCATTCTCACCTCGGCATTCCTATTTTCTGCCCACAATGCGCCTCCCCTCGTTCATCCACACACATTCCCTTCTCCCCTTTCCTCGCTCACAACCCTTCTCCCTTCCCCCCCCAACTCTTCCTCCCCCACCCCCACCTTCTTCCCCCCCCTCCTCCCGCTCCCCTACTCCTCCACTCCCTACCCACAACCCACCATTTCCCACCACCCACCACCCTCCACCCCTACCCGTCCGCCTTGCAGAGGTGTGGGCAGTGCAGTCTCTCCCTGCCAGCGTCCAGGAGGTGCTACCAGCGGGCGCCAGTGCCATGAACACCCACATTCCCCTCTCCTCGCTCACAACCCTCCTACTCTTCCTCCCCCATCCCCTCCCCTGGGCTCCTCGTGCCCCGTCCACCACCCATCATCACCACCCACCACCCGCAATTGCCCACATGCAGAGGTGTGGGCAGTGCAGTCTCTCCCTGCCAGCGTGCAGGAGGTGCTTCCAGCGGGCGCCAGTGCACGCAACGTGGACGCCATTCTCGCAGCCCCGGGCTCCAAGGCTCTGAGCGTGCCCCCCGAGATAGTGGCAGGCAGCGCTGACATGAACAACCCCGCGCTGCTGCGCTGGCTTGAGACCGTGCGACAGGAGACAACCAAGGGCAAGGTGAGAGCGAGAGCGATGCTTGTCAGGTGCCGTGCCGCGATCATTTTAGCAACTGGTTTAAGGGTTTGAGCGTGCCAGGGAGGTCATTGTAGCCAAGAGTGCTGACATGAACAACCCTGCTCTGCTGCGATGGCTAGAGACCGTGCGAACAGTGGCCAAACAGTGCTTTTCATGAACCTTTCTGAACCCCCCATGCACCCCCCTTTCCCCGCCACTTGCCCGGCCCCCCACCTTCCCCCTCCCGACTCCCCAGGTGCGACTACTGGTATACGACACAGACCTGCCACTGCCCTTGGCATCGCCGGACCAGCAGCGCTTCAAGAAGAACGGGCTGGCAGCGCTGCGAGCCTCAGCAAACGTGAGCGCCATCATCACGCACCTACTGCACCGCCTGCGCAAGGCCTTCCAGGATCGCCTCGGAGGCGACCTTTCCCAGTTCCAGTTTGCTGCCCTGCATGTTGGAGAAGATTCTGCCGGTGCTGCTGCTGCTGCTGGGCTTGGGGATGGCGGCAGCGGTTTGGCCGGTGCGGCTGGTGGGAAGAATGGCAGCAGTTCAGAGGCTGGCGGGGATTATTTCGAGAGCAGGAGTGGTGGGGTTGCTGGTGGTGGTGCTGATGGGGACAGCGGGAGCGTTCTAGCGGCGATTCGAGAGGCTCTTCTAGCCAATGTGGATCCTTCGCAGATGCTTCTTTATGTCACGGTGGGTCGATCTATGGAGCACAAAACAGTGCTGCAGGAGCTACATGGAGCGTACCACGTGGTTACAAAAGACATGCTCATTCCCAACATCAGCCGCAGATTCCCGTCGCATGAAATGCAGGCAGCGTTTGAGCAAGGAGTCGCCAAGGAGGCCTCGCTCTTCCTAGCTCCGTCCACGTCAGCATTTTCGGGGTTTGTCTTCCAATCACGGTGTTTTACGAGACCGACCTTGGGACAGAAGCCGCAAAGAGACACGGTGTTTTACGACCGGAGCACGAGTGTTGCCGCATGCCATGTGCGGCCCACGGGTTGACAAGGAAACGGAAAGGACGCTATATGCTTGTAAAACGGGACCTGCAGTATTCAATAAATAGCTTGGCCAGGGCGTAAGGAGCTATGGCCAATGCAGAGGTTGCTCTAGGGAACTGTTGATGTTGCTGCATTGCATACGGTACTGCTTTGAGTATGGAGATACATGCCCTTAAATAATGTGGGGAGGGAATGGGCACTGCGTGGGTTGTGAAGACTGCTTCTGATTTGCTGCCAACTCCCTCTCCTTTCTCTAGCTTATTTGCTCATATTTACACGTACTATGGTTTGGTTGGTCTTATTGTAATTTGCAGCAAAAACATAAGCGAAGGTGGGTCAATTTAGTATACATAAGTCTGGAACCATATATGTAATATTTGTAGCCATATAGCAGCATCTTATGATAATGGCATTAAGGACCAACATCATCAGACTCTCGTTGTCTGTATATAGCATACCATATCGATAAGCTGCTTTAAGCTTTTACTTGAGACGTTTTCAGAGGGTACACGAGTCACAGCTGTTTCACGCCTACTTCACGCCTTGAGATTGTTTTCCGCTGAAACATTGGGAATGTCGTCTGTGAATGAACTGAAAGCCGCCCTTGATTGCATGCCCCATTGAGGAATCGGGTCGGAACTTGCTCACGACAATACGAATCTGTTGAGGCAGCGTCCACTCTGGGCTCGTGAGGCATGCACTCGATTGGTTTACTTACTTCACCATCCACACTATGTCTCGCGCTGGGCATTGCTCCAGAAGGTGTCGCGAAGAATATGACGAAGTTCGTGAATCAAGAAACTTGAAACGTCGTGCAATTGACTCTACCAAGAATTTCGTAAGTGCCACCCCCTAAAGCGACGGGCAACTTTTGGCAGTGTTGGGTTCAGAAGTTTTTTTTTTGAACCAGGCTTGCCAGCGCGAAAGTGCTGGCTGGCGAAAACCAGGATTTCGTGCGGACACTTTCCATCCGCAGTAACAGTTCGCCAGGGTTCTGGGTTTTGGGTGGCAAATGTGCACCGTCGCTCTAATAGTTTGGATTCGTCTGGATGGCACTTGGTTGGAGCGATGCGAGCCCACCTGGCTGACCGGGATGTCCGAAGTGACAGCCGAATCCGTGCAGCATCGACGGTCGCCAGCAGATCATAGTTCTGGAGACGCGAGCTTACCATGATATCGTGACATGTCTAGTCCTATTCAGCGTTCAAGTTATCCTTCCCATGGGCTGAAGTTCATGCCGGCTCGAGCAATCGTTCTAGTCTAGGTAGCCCTTGTAGATCCCTTTCATGCATCGACTTCGAGTGGTCCCGTCGTCGCAATCAGGCGCGATTTCCATTTTAATATCGGCTCGTCTCGCCTTCGTCTCGCCTTACTCTCACGCACGCCACGCGAGGGCGATGGTGTATTCTAAACTGTTCTCGAAGTCGGCGTTTCTTTGACATATGCTGAAATTGTTTATTCTTACTGATAGAATTCACTCCGTTCTTCGTGGTACCTCATCCCTTTCCGGTGGCGACAGGCGCCCATGGCTTCTCTGAAGTTTGATCCAGACTTTTGGAACGTGGTTCAAGAGAGATTGCAACCAAGGTACCTCTCCTCCTCATCCACCGGAAGGGCTTTCATGTTGTAGAATTCCGGTCCAAAGCGGATACTAGTGAATTTTAAAGAGCATACTAGTTACTATGCTGTCTATTCCCTCACTGGCTATGCATCTATACTTTCAACAAATCACGTTCTCTTTTCTTCCGTCAATCTGCCTCTCAGGCCACAACAAGAGCCACCGCCAGCTCTTGTCCCTGCTGAATCCAGCTCGTCTGAGGAATCTCCTGAGGGCGGCCATGGTTCCGGTGATGTCGCTGGAAGCACAGCAGCGGCAAAGGCGAAGGAGGTTGAAGTGGAGTGGCTGGAAGCTTCTCAGATCCGATTCAGCCAGTCGACTATTTGCGAGGCGTTCTCACGCCCACCAGCCAAGGCAGTCGCGGATGCAGCACCGGAGCAGAAGAGGTATGCATAATCTGATACATGGCAGAAAAGGATTTCACCCGAAAATGCGTTCAAGGGGGTTTTTCTTGCTCCAATTGCTACGGGAACTCGCTAAATCAGATTATGCCCCGGCGATGCATCCGCGACTGCTTTGGCTGGGTGAACCGTTCAACAGTGGGACAATTTTGGGGTCCCTCTAAAAGCTACTCTAACTCCGTCTTCCTTTGCTAACGAAATATTCTGAAGGTCGCCTCACTCACCTTCTACCTCAATCACTCACTATCTCTCAGGACTAGAAGTTTTTTTTTTTCAATGTTTGATTTTGCTCTGAAATTCTCGATCCTTCCCTCTCCCCATTGCCACAACACCAATGCGACTGACCCTCCGCCTCCCCCATCAGCTATGCACGTGTTGCTGCAGCTGCGCCCAGAAGCAGCAAGTACACAGTCCTTGATGCAGTGCGAGACCTCAACGAGGGAACCAGCAAGATTGAAGACTTTCCACCAATCCGAGTGGTGGAGCAGGACGGCCTACTCTTCTCTCTAGACAACCGCCGGTTGTATGTCTTCAAGCTGTTTGGAACCACTGGGTTGCGCGTGCCTGTGCGCCGAGTGCCGGTTGATAAGGAGCTGTTTCAGAAGCTCACGTGCACGGGCGTGGGGGATGCGAGGGGGAAGACGGTGCAGGTGCTGACGGAGGAGGAGGCGAGGGAGGTGGGGAAGGTGCTGCAGCTGGAGCAGCACGTGCTCAAATGGAGCGTGTCGGATATCATGAACGATTACCTGCTCGTTAGGAAGGTAAGGCTGTAGCAACATCGGTTGTTTTTTCCTTTTCCCTTCCATGATTTCAAGTCAATCGGTGCAATCCGAGCACTACAATAACTGCATGGTACTTTGACTATTTCTGTGACCTGTCAACCCATCAGGTCCGGCCCATACCAGACAAGTTCCAAAACATCCGCTCGTACCTGTCTGCCTTCCGGTGGCCCCTGGTGGAGGAGTGCCGTGCCAGCCTCAAGTCCTCCCTGGGGCAGCTGTCCTCATCGACTCCCATGCAGATAGACATTCACAAGGTGGAGAGGCTGGATGGGTATGTGGCAGGCGCGGATGATTATGATGAGGAGGACGAGTGGGAGGAGAGGGAGGAGAGCGAGGAGGGTGGGTATTACACGGGCCAGGATAATCCTTTTGGCGGTGAATCGTATGGGGATGAGGACCATGCGTACGGAGGTTCTTTGTTCGGGGGAGCAAGGAGGGTGAGGAAGCCGGTGAAGGTGCACTCGGATACAGGGCGGTTTGGTGCGGTGGTGTTTGAAGTGGACAGGCAGAGACTGGCTCGTGACAGGGCAGCATCGGGAGGCGGAGGAGGCAGCTGGTTTGAAGGGGTCAAGCTGAAGCCGACAGATGTAGTGCTTCTCTCCACCGTTGCTCCCACCGAGCCAAACGATCTGCTGCGTGCAGGCGTGCTGTATCTTCTCGGCGTGCTTCTTCCCGACCGAAACGTGACCGAGGGCATTTCTCTTCCAGGGCAAGACGGAGCACAGGAGGGCGGTGGTGGGGGCGATGGGAGCAGCAGCTACTTCAAAGCGAAGATCTTTCTTCCGAAAGAGTCCCCTGAGCTGAAAGGTCTGGAGGAAGCTTTGGTGCGGAAGAAGAGTGATAAGGGGGGTGGTAAGGAGGAGGGTGGGAGTCAGGAGGTTACTTGGTATGTGACTCTACTGGATACGTTTGCCACGCCTCAGCGCATTTGGGATGCTCTGCACGGGTATTTGGGACAAGAGGAGTGGAGCGAGATGGGGGGGTCGAAGAGAGATCAGATGATGAAATTGATGCTGGAGGAGGTGCTGTGTTCGGAGAGTGGGAGGGGCAAGAGGGGTGGAGCAAAGCGACTCACAGAAGAAGCAAGAGAGGTGAGGCTGCTGTGATGGCTGGTTCTTGTTGTTCGGCGTTAGAAAGATAGAGAAACTTGTGTACAACTCCAAGAATCATTAGCGTCAGTGTTTTCATGCCGACCCCTCTACACCGTTTGCGTGCATTCCACTATTCAATACCTGCTTATCTGCTCCCCTTGCATGCAACCCTCCTCTCCCTTGCTACCGGTGTGGTGAGCAGCAAATTCTGAGAGCCTTTCCTCCAGCCATAACCATAGCCCCTGACGTGGTTCCAGAGCTCCTGCAAGCCGTGGGGGATTTCTGCCATGCGCGCGGCCTCAACCACCCGCAGCAGGCAGCCATTCTCGCCTGCCTCCGTGGATTCCTCTCCTCTGCTGCCTCCTCCCCATTCGTCTCCTCACCCTTCCCCTCCTACTCCTCCTCCTCGCAATTTTCGTCCTTCTCCTCGCCACTCGACAACTACTCCTCCGCGTCTCGCAAACTGCTGCAGCTGGTGCAGGGGCCGCCAGGCACAGGAAAGACGCACACGATCTCGATTCTCCTCTCCATCGTGCTTTCTCTTGGGGTACGCACGCTCGTCTGCGCGCCTACCAACGTCGCTGCAGCTGAAGTGGGCCGGAGAATGCTCCGTCTCGCTCTCTCCTCCGATCCCTCCTCGCAATTCGCAGGGTACTGCCGCGAGCAGCAGCAGCAGCAGCAGGATTACGGGTGGGGAGGTAGGGGAGATGTTCCTGTGGCGTTTGTGAGAGGTGGGAAGCTGAGGGTTGGGGATATAGCCCTGGTTGCAAATGAAGACCGGCTGGAGATTGATCCTGAGCTGGGGATGATCCTGTTGGGGAGCGAGAGGAAGGGCGGCGGCGGGAAAAGCACGTTCAGTGGACGCATTGGGAGGCTGGTAGGGGCCCTTTCCCTTCTAACTGGATGGAAGCCGTCTTTTTCAAGCCTGCTTTCCTTCCTGGATATCTCATGGGAAGCGCTCAACCTGGAGTTTCAAACCGAGCTCGAAGCAGAGGAGGAGCGGCGGAAAAAAGAAGCTGCTTCTGGAGGCGACCTTGGCAGGGGCAGTCTCGACAAGAAAGGTCCGAAGAAGCCCGCCCCATTCCCAACCCTTGTAACTCACCTCCAAAAGCGTATCGATTTCCTGACCCAGCCTGCGATGGAAGCAGCAGTCAATCTCGCAGAGGACCTGCCATCCGCTCTTCTTCCTGATAATCAACGGCTGCTGCTTCTCCAGGCGTTTGATCTCATGGCAGCGCTGCGGCAGCTTGTTAGGGTTGCTGGTCTGACTCCTGCTGTGGTGAAGACATGGTTGGAAGGTGCCGGTGGGCTGGCAGGAGAGGAAGGGGGAGTGGAGGAAGTGGTTGAGGCGGCATTTGTTCTGCTTGGTCTTGGTGTTAGTGCTGCGGGTGGGCTGGATGGTGATTCTGCTACATGCACTGTTCCAAGCGGTAGCACCACTGCCAGCAGCAGCAGCACCACCACCAGCACCAGCACCACCAGCACCACCAGTACCATCACTACGAGCAGCAGCCGAGTGGCGATGCTTCGGGCTGCAAAGAGCATGAGCGTTAGCAAAACCAGAAGCCCGGCCACCAGCACCATCACACCATCGCAAGCCCGATCACTCTTCCTCTCCATTCGCAACTGCCTGCGACAAATCTCATACCAAAGCCCCGCATACAGCATCCCGAGGCTATCCGGTGCTCCCACCTTCGCCACCGTGGCTGCAGTCGCATCGAGAACGCCAAGCTCGTCCTCTCCACTGTCTCCTCCTCTGCGCGCCCTCTCCTGCGCTTCTCCACCCCCTTCCCGCTGCTGCTGCTGGACGAAGCAGCCCAGCTGGTGGAGGCAGAGAGTGTGGTGGCCCTCCAGACCAAGGGGCTGCGCTATGCTGTGCTCGTGGGCGATCCCAAGCAGCTGCCCGCCACTGTCATGAGCAAGGTGAGTGAGTGAGTGAGTAATGGGTGGGAGGAGGAGTCACTTTATGACTCCTCTGCTCTGCTTTTTCAACGCGGGCCCCTGCAACCTCCGACTTTCTGGTCTGTTCCTGCTTCCGTTTCCCTGCTTCTTGTCCTTACCCCATCTTCCCTCTTTCTTGTGTGTTTTTGTTGTTCTCTACTACACCCCCAGGTAGCAGTTGAGGGCCATTACAACCGCAGCTTGTTCGAGCAGCTGCAGGGCAACGGGTGGGAGGTGCACATGCTGAGCGTGCAGTACCGCATGCACCCCGAAATCAGCCGCTTCCCCTCGCACTGCTTCTACGAGGGGCGTATCGAGGATGGTGCCAATGTATGCCGCCCGGCTCACAGCCCGGAGCATCTGGAGCCTCTCTTTGGCCCGTACATGTTCATGCATGTGAAGGGCGAGGAGGAGAGGGATGCGGGGGCGGTGGAGGGTGGCTCGCGCAGTATTGCGAATTTGGTGGAGGCTGTGGTGGTGCTGGCGCTGCTCAAACGACTCTCTGATGGTGCGACCTGTGTGCTCTGCTCTGCTTGTTGCTGCTATTCTCTGCGTTTCTCTGCTATGATGGTTCTGCTTCTATGCTATGGCAGACATAGCTACATTCGCTTCTAAAACCTCGCTCTCTCTTTGAAATCTCGTCCTCATTTTCCTTGTCGCTCGCACATCTCCCCCTTGCCCCCACACCACACTCACAGCCTGCAAGGGCACAGAAGCAGGGGCGCGCACAGGCTCGCCAATGAAAGTGGGTCTCATCTCGCCATACGCGCTGCAAGTGGAGTACTTAAAGCGAGCGTTGGAGTCCCAGTCGTGGCCGCACCTGGCAGTGGAGGTGAAGAGTGTGGACGGGTTTCAGGGGCGGGAGTGCGACGTTATCATTGTCACCACTGTGCGCTCCAACATGAACGGCAGCATCGGATTTGTGTCCGATGCGAGGCGGTGGGTGATAGGCGGGGGATGATGATGGGCAGTGGGTGGCGGGTGGGGGGTGATCGGTGGTGGGCTATGGGCTTGCAAAAGTGGGTGGTTGCTGTCCGAGTACGTGTTGTCTCTTTGCACGCTGGGCCGACCTTTCCTCCTTTTCCCCCTCTCCCTTTCCCCCCTCCCTCTTGTTTCCCCCCATCCCCCCTTCCCCCCTCTGTCCCTCCTCCCAGGCTGAACGTGGCCATAACGAGGGCGCGCTACTGCATGTGGGTGGTGGGCGATCGGGAAACACTGCAGCGCGGCGACACCACGTGGGAGCGCCTGCTGGTGGACGCGCAGCAGCGGGGCTGCCTGGTGGAGGCACAGAGCGATGCAAAGCTGCGCAGAGTGGTGGAGAGGCGTCAGATGGAGCTGGGAGAGGTGGAGCAGCTGCTGCTGCCCAACTCCGGCCTCTGGGACTCGCTCATCTGGGAGGTGAGCCGCGCAGTGGCGGGAGTAGAGATGGGGGAAGGAGGTGTTGAGATGCACGGGGTGGTTTGAGATGCACGGGGTGGTTTGAGATGTGGGGGGGGTGTGATGCGGGAGGGAGGTGAGATGTGGTTTGAACGTGGTGTTCCGGCATGGGTTTGTGTGATTCGAAGAACGGGATTCGTTGGGAGGTTTCGGTGGGCAGCATGTGAGGGTTGGTTCTAAGCAGTCCCTGTACTGTGACCTTTCCTCTTTTTCTCCCCCACCACCAGGCGACCTTCAGCCTGGAGTTTCAGCGCAGCATGCGGGAGCTGCGCTCTCTGGACGTGATCAACGCAGTGAGGCGCCTCATGGGCGGCCACAGGCCGCAGGGCTGCACCCGGCCACGGCACGAACTGAAGGACCCGCGCTACTATGACATCATTCACGTGCAGGCCGTGGGGAAATACCAGCTCATCTGGACCGTTGACGTGTCACGGACAACCTACAAACAGGTCGCTGCTCTCCCTCGAACAAATCCAAGTGCTCTCAAGTTTCCTTCTCTCGCGCTCTCTGCTCTCTGCTTCGACCTGCCTTTACCCCCTTCCGCAATTCTCCATCTCGTCTTCTATATTCCTTCGTCACCACAGTCTCATCTCTTGCTCTCTCCGTCTACACTCCCTCCCTCGTTTTTTTCTCTCTCTCTCGCTCTCTACCACTCTCGTCTGCCCTCCGCGCCACCGTGCCACGGAGCAGATGATCCGAGTGTGGGACGTGGTGGAGGCAGCACGTGCTCAAGTGGCTGCGTCAACTCAAAATCCCCCCTTGCTCCCTTTTCCCTGACCTCCTCCTCTGCCCCCCTTCCTCACCACCACTGTACCACGGAGCAGATCATCCGGGTGTGGGACGTGGTGGAGGCAGCACGTGCTCAAGTGGCTGCGTCAACTCAAAATCCCCCCTTGCTCCCTTTTCCCTGACCTCCTCCTCTGCCCCCCTTCCTCACCACCACTGTACCACGGAGCAGATCATCCGGGTGTGGGACGTGGTGGAGGAGCAGAACGTGCTCAAGTGGCTGCGTCGCCTCGAGGGAGGCCTCGGGACCTACTCCGACGAGTCTCTCGACCGCTGTGCCCGCTGTGACGACCGCCTAGCCCGCAGGGTGCAGCCGCTGCAGTTTCCAAAAGATCCGGGGTTTACTTGGCATCGGGCCAAGGCATCACCGCGCGATGTGGTTGCAGCTTCTGATGCAGGTATGATTGGTTTGTTTGAATCGTTGCAGATGACTGTTGTTCTTTAACATCCGTTTATACCTTTTCCCCACACCTGGCCCCCTCCTCGCTCCCTCCCTCCCTCCCTCCCGCCCTCCCTCCCTCCCTCCCTCCGTCTCGCCCACCAGAGAGCGCCCTGGAGCGGGCGCCAGTGGACGAGAGCGTGCTGCTGATGAAGTTCTATCAGCTCTCGCTGGGATCCGCGCGGCAGCTGCTGACAGCAGCGCAGGCGAGCTGCCCTTCGAGGTGAACGAGCAGGAGGCGCTCATCGTGCACTACCCGGGGAGCCTCTTCGTTCTGGGTCGCTCCGGCACTGGCAAGACCACGATCATTACTCACCGGTTGCTGCGCCTGGAGAGGGTGTTTCTGCGAGCCATGGGGGAGCGGGGCCGGCTGGGTCCTGCTGTGGGGATTGGGACGGGGAGTGGCAGGGGAAGAGAGGTGGGTGGGGAGGGAGGAAGGGGGAAGGCGGTGGGTGATGAGAAGAAGGGAGGAGAAGGGGGATATTCGCCCCCTCCCTTCGTCCCTCCTTCTGCCCGCCGCATCCTCCTCCTGTCAACGTTTTTTCTCTCCCAGGTCTCTGCCACCCTCTCATCTATTCTTCTCCAAACCTCCCAACCCAAGAAGGGAGGGGGTCGCGGTGGAGGGAAGGATGGTGGGGGTGGTGGCAAGGGGGGGAAGAAGCAGCGAGGAGGCAAGTCGAAGAGGTGATATTGATGAGTTGTTTCAGCTGCCGTTGAAGCACAGCTGCAGAGCACGTGTGATGTGACGGCCGATTGCGAATGTGAAGCTGTTTGTATAGCAGAATGAGACATGGACAGAATGATCGCTGCTTACTTCACCCGCTAAAGGGTGGAGCCCCTCCTAACTCTAAGCAAGGTGCCTGCTACTCACCCAGCAGGGTGTGCATTTGTGTATTTGTGCATAACGTGTAACATTATTAAAGTTTCGATTCCACTTCGTGCAATTGTGGGGTTGAAAGGGATTCATGCATGCCAACAAGATGCAGTACAATTAGGACGGATCAACCTTGGTTTGTTTACAATACCATATTTGAATGTTATGATGACTGGGTCACTTTGAAGGCGATGCTATCCATTTTAAGCATAAGCGCATGTGGCTCTACAAACAGCATAGTGACACGATGTGTAGGGAATTGTTATTTTCAGAGGACCTATAAATTCATGGACCTACTTGACAACATCATGGACCCATAAATTCATACTGTCATTGTTAAATATCTGAAGACCAAACGGCGAGATCGCTTCTAACCTTAAGCTGAGACGTTTTCAGAGAGGACAAAATCACGCCCTTTGCACGCCCAGCTCACGCCTTGAGATTTGTTCTGCTGTACTACAGTACTACACCTTGGGATTTGGAAACAGGGACTCTTGGGAATGTCGTCTCTGAAGTGATAGCCGCCCTTGATTGGAACGCACAGCCCATTCACAGTTGCTAGTCCTCGTTTCGCACACGACGAAAATATTCTGTTGTCAGCCTCGGCTCGCGAGGCTCGCAGTCAATTGATACGTCAACGTCCATTCCCGACCCGACCTCTCGCCAGGAGTCGCAGGGGAGTCACGAACACTCTGACGACGCTTTCGCATAGAAAAACCCGTAAAGAGTTGTTCATATGACTCTACGCATGACATCCAAAGAGCCACGCCTTGAGAGTCCGGATTCGTCCGGATGGCACTCAGTTGGAGCGATGCGAGCCCAGCAAGCAACTGCCATTCGCAAAGTCCTCCTTCCCCCCAATGCATGCATGCGGGATTCTCATTCTCCATGGGGCCCGCCGCTGGTTCCAAGGTTATCCCGTCCCGCACCACATCCACCTGGCTGACCGGGACATCCCAAGTGATAGTCGCATCCGTGGAAGGTCCGGATGAGGAATCCGTGCAGCATCGACGGTCGAGAGCGAATGATCGTTCTGGAGACGCGAGCTTATCATGATCATTTTCGTGACATGTCCAGTCCCACTCAGCAGCGTACGCGCTGATCCACTCCATGAGCTGAATGCGAGCCTGCTCGGGTTATCATTCCAGTCTGGATAGGCCTTCAAATGCCCTCTCATGCATCGTGTTTGAGTGGTCCCTTCGTTGCAATCAGGCGCGATTTCACTCCAATTCTGGCCATTCTCGCCTTTGTCTCGCCTTACTCTCGCTTCTTGCCGCGAGTGGCGTCGCTTTTCCTGCTTCAAGCCGCGCGAGCGCGATGGTGTTGCCTATTCCTCTCCTGAAGGCGCCATTTCCTTGACATCGCTTGCTTACCTTTACTGAGTTTGTACCATTTCCTGAGTTTCGTGGTAGTACGCCGTTTTTCCGCATGCCATGGCTCTGAAGTTCGACCCAGACTTCTGGAACGTGGTGCAAGAGAGACTGCAACCGAGGTACAACCACCCCGCATCCACCAAAGGATATCATTGGTTTAAAGAGAACGCAGCACTTGTTTTTGTGCTGCTGTGCTGCCATCTTCTTGAGACCTCGTTTCCTGTCAACTATCGTGTCAACCGGTCATTTCTAAGCACCCTGCAATGCTTGTGCACGTGATATCAACCATGCCCTCTCCTTCCATCACTCTGCCTCTCAGGTCACAAGAAGTGCCACCGCCAGGCCATGCTTCAGCTGGATCCGGTTTGTCTGAGGAATCTCCTGAGGACCGCCATGGTTCCGGTGATGTCAGTGGGAGCACAGAGGTGCCAAAGCCGAAGGAGGCTGAAGTGGAGTGGCTGGAAGCTTCTCAGATCCGATTCAGCCAGTCAACTATATGCGAGGCCTTCTCACGCCCACCAGCCAAGGCAGTTTCGGCTGCAGCACCGGAACAGAAGAGGTATGCACCTTCTGATTTCCTCGCCCCAGTTTTCCCGGAATCTCTCTGTTTTTAATATTTGAAGGAGTATTCTGAACTACCTCACTGACTCACTCACTTGCTCTTAGGACTAGAATTTTTTTTCCTGTCTTTGTTTCTGCTGTCAAAACCTCAACCGTTCTCTCTTCCCCCTGCCAAAATCGCTAATCCGACCGAACCGTCTGCCCCCCATCAGCTATGCACGTGTAGCTGCATCCGCAGCCAGAAGCAGCAAGTACACAGTCTTCGACGCGGTGCGGGATCTCAACAGCGGCGCCAGCAAGGTGGAGGACTTCCCCCCAATCCGAGTGGTGGAGCAGGACGGGCTGCTCTTCTCCCTGGACAACCGGCGCCTCTATGTGTTCAAGATGTTTGGGCCCACAGGGTTGCTCGTTCCTGTGCGCCGTGTGCCTGCTGATAAGGAGCTGTTTCAGAAGCTCACGTGCACGGGCACAGGGGATGCGAGGGGGAAGACGGTGCAGGTCCTGACAGAGGAGGAGGCGAGGGAGGTGGGGAAGGTGCTGCAGCTGGAGCAGCACGTGCTCAAATGGAGCGTGGAAGATATTATGAACGATTACCTGCTTGTCAGGAAGGTAAGGCTGCAGCAACATTGGCTTTGCAATAACCGCTTGGGAGCAACAAGCTCTTCGCAGTTTCTTGCCCTTGCTATTTTCTATGTTTTCCTTCCCTCTTACATGAGCTCAAAAGCGTGGTGGCATCAGAGCATTTCACAACTGGAGTCTCGTTTAGGCAACTCCGTCAGCTACAATAAGTGCAATGATCAATAACCGGCACTATAACCACCCCTGTGACTTGTCACCCTTTCAGGTTCGGCCTATATCAGACACCTTCCCGAACATCCGCTCGTACCTGTCTGCCTTCCGCTGGCCGCTGGTGGAGGAGTGCCGCGCCAGCCTCAAGTCTGGCCTGAGTCAGCTCTCCGCTTCAACTCCCATGCAGATAGACATTCTCAAAGTGGAGAGGCTGGATGGGTATGTGGCAGGCGTAGATGATTATGACGAGGAGGAGGAGTGGGAGGAGGGGGAGGAGGGTGGGTATTACATGGGCCAGGAGGATGTCTTTGGCAGTGACTTGCGTGGGGAGGAGGACGTCTACGGAGGTGCTTTGTTCGGGGGAGCAAGGAGGGTGAGGAAGCAGGTGAAGGTGCACTCGGATACGGGCCGGTTCGGTGCGGTGGTGTTCGAGGTGGACAGGCAGAGCCTGGCTCGTGACAGGGCAGCATGGGGGGCCGTAGCGGGATCCGGAGGCAGCTTGTCTGAACAGGTGAAGCTGAAGCCGACAGATGTGGTGCTTCTCTCCACGGTTGCTCCCACCGACTCCACCGACCTGCTTCGCTCGGGCGTGTTGTATCTGCTGGGCGTTCTGATTACCGACCGGAACATGACGAAGGATCTTCCTCTTACAGAAAAAGGCGTAGCACAGGAGGTTGGTGGGGGCGATAGGGGCAGCTGCATTTTCAAGGCGAAGATCTTTTCTCCGAAAGAGTCTCCCGAGTTGAGAGGTCTGGAGGCGGCTTTGGTGCAGAAGAAGAGCGATAAGGGGGGTGGTGAGGAGGGGGGTGGTGCGGAGGAGGGTGGGACTCAGGAGGAGGTTGCTTGGTATGTGACTCCACTGGATACATTCGCCACGCCTCAGCGCATCTGGGATGCCCTTCATGGGTCTCTGGGTCAGGAGGAGTGGAAAGAGAAAGGGGGATCGAAGGAAGGTCGGATGATGAGGATGGTTCTGGAGGAGGTGCTGTGTTCGGACAGTGGGAGCGGGAGAAGGGGTGGAGCGAAACGAAGCACAGAAGCAGAAAGAGAGGTAAGGCTGGTATGATTCTGCTATTTATTCTGTTGATTTGTCGTAGCAGAACGATAGTGAAATCTTATCTTAAGGTATGTAGAATCCATGGCACCCACTGTTTCTTCTCACGGCGGCCGCCGGCCACCGTTTGTTCGCATTCTGTTAACCAATTCCATGCTGTCGTTTTGCATCCTGCCCCCCTCTCCCATGCCACCCTGGTGTGGTGAGCAGCAACTCCTGAGCACGTTGCCTCCAGCTATCTCCATAGCGCCTGACGTGGTTCCAGAGCTCATGCAAGTCGTGGGGGACTTTTGCCATGCCTGCGGCCTCAACCACCCCCAGCGGACAGCCATTCTCGCCTGCCTGAGAGGCTTCCTATCTGTCGCTGCTTCCCCGAACGCCGCTGCCTATTCCGAATCTACCTCCCCGTTCTTCTCCCCGAATATCCCCTCCTCCTCACAATTCTCGTCCTTCTCCTCGCCGCTCAACGATTCTTCATCCCGCCGGCTGCTGCAGCTGGTGCAGGGGCCGCCAGGCACAGGCAAGACGCACACCATCTCCATTCTTCTCTCCGTCATGCTTGCCCTCGGGGTACGCACGCTCGTCTGCGCCCCTACCAACGTCGCTGCGGCGGAAGTGGGCCGGCGAGTGCTCCATCTGGCACTCTCCTCGGATCCCTCCGCGCACTTTGCAGGGTACTGCCGTGCCCAGCAGCAGCAGTGCTACGGGTGGCCGGACCGGAAAGCGTTTGTGGGGCATGGAAAGTTGAGGGTTGGAGATATAGCCCTGGTTGCAAATGAGGATCGGCTGGAGATAGATGCAGAGCTGGAAATGATCCTGGTGGGGAGTGAGAGGAAGGGGAGTGGCGGCGAGAGGCGGACCGTGAGTGGTCGTGTTGGGAGGCTGATAGGAGCTGTTTCCAGTCTAACTGGATGGAAGGTGTCTTTTCAGAACCTGCTTTCCTTCTTGGATATCTCATGGGAGGTTCTGGGTGTGGAATTTCAAGCTGAGTTGAGAGCAGAAGAGAAGAGGCGGCGCAGGGAAGATGCGTCTGCAGACGATGAGGACGATGAGGAGGGCGGGGTCAGCAAAGGCAGCAGCGACAAGAAAGATCCGAAGAATGCCGACCCGCTCCCGACCCTCGTAACGCACTTCCAGAAGCGCATCAATCTCCTGACCCAGCCGGCTATGGAGGCAGCTGTGAATCTAGCAGAGGACCTGCCGTCTGCTCTTCTTCCTGAGAGCGAACGGCTGCTGTTGCTCCAGGCGTTTGATCTCATGGCAGCGCTTCTGAAGCTGGTGAGGTGCGCTGGGCTGACTCCTGCTGTTGTGAGGACGTGGCTGGAAGGAGCAGGGGAGGTGGTTGGAGGGGCAAGAGGGGTGGAGTCGGTGGTTGAGGAGGCGTTCGATGCTGCTCGGTCTTGGTGTCAGTTCTGGGGGTGGTCTGGACGCGGATTTTGCTGTGAGTACTAATACGAGCAGTAGCACCACTGGCAGCAGCAGCAGCAGCAGAATTGGAATGATTCGGGCCGCAGGGATTCGGAGCAGTAGCAGAAGCAGAAACCCAACCACAAGAACCACCACCATCGCACCAAACCAAGCTCGATCACTCTTCCTCTCGATCCGCAACTGCCTGCGACGCATCTCAAACCAAAGCCCAGCCTACAGCATCCCGAACCTATCCGGAGCTCCTACCTTTGCAACTGTGGCGGCAGCATGCATTGAGCACGCCAAGCTCGTCCTCTCCACCGTCTCCTCCTCTGCGCGCCCTCTCCTGCGCTTCTCCAACCCCTTCCCGCTGCTGCTGCTGGACGAAGCAGCCCAGCTGGTGGAGGCAGAGAGTGTGGTGGCCCTCCAGACCAAGGGGCTGCGCTATGCTGTGCTCGTGGGCGATCCCAAACAGCTGCCCGCCACTGTCTTGAGCAAGGTGAGTGATGTGAAGTGGGCAGTCTGTGAACGGCTCTACTGATTTTCAACACCTGCCCTTGCTGCCTCCGACATGGTTGTCGAACCCTGCTTCTGATTACGTGCCCTTTTTGAAACTCCTCCTTCTCTCCATTCTCCATTCCTGCATTGTCTCCCAGGTAGCAGCGGAGGCCCATTACAACCGCAGCTTATTCGAGCGGCTGCAGGGCAACGGGTGGGAGGTGCACATGCTGAGCGTGCAGTACCGCATGCACCCCGAAATCAGCCGCTTCCCCTCTCACCGCTTCTACGAGGGGCGTATCGAGGATGGCGCCAACGTGTGCCGCCCGTCTCACTGCCCGCAGCACCTGGAGAGTCTGTTTGGCCCGTACATGTTCATGCACGTGAAGGGCAAGGAGGAGAGGGACGTGGGGAAGGTGGGGGAGGGTGGCTCGCGCAGTATTGCGAATTCGGTGGAGCTGTGGTGGTGCTGGCGCTACTTAAACGACTCTCTGACGGTGCGACCTGCTTTCGTGCTTTGCCCTGCACTCCTCTGCTCTGCTTTTCTCTGCTCTTTCCTCAGTTTTAACCTTTTTTTCTGCTGGTTCTGCCGCCATGTTGTGCCAGATATGGCAACTGTAACGTTCTACCGCCTTGATCCTGCCTCAACGTAAACTCATTCCCAAACCCCCTTCCACTCGCAACTCTCCTCCCCCCAACCCGACTTACAGCCTGCAAGGCCACAGCAGCAGAAGCAGGGTCGCGCAGAGGTGCCGCATCACTGAAAGTGGGGCTCATTTCCCCATACAACCTGCAAGTGGAGTACTTGAAGCGTGCCTTGGAGTCCCAGTCGTGGCCGCACCTGGTGGTGGAGGTGAAGAGTGTGGACGGGTTCCAGGGGCGGGAGCGAGATGTGATCATTGTCACCACTGTGCGCTCCAACGCGGCTGGCAGCATTGGATTCGTGTCCGACGCGAGACGGTGGGTCATGGCTGGGGGATGTTGAGAGGGGTGATGGGGGGTGGGTGGTGGGTGGTGGGTGATGGGCGATGGGCGTGCGTGAGTGGGTGGTTTATTGTTGAGTGAGGGAGTGGTGTTTTGTGGTGGTTGAGTATGCGTATGATTCTATGCACACTCGGCCGACCTCGCAATTCCATTGCTGTTTTTCCCGATGAGCTGCTTCACTGCACAGCTTCGTACCTCATACCCCATACCTCATTGCCCTTTGATCTCAGAAATGCCTAATCCCTGCTCTTCCTGCATCTTCCCGTCTCCCGGATCCCCCTCCCCCCTTCCCCTCGTTTACCCTCTACCCACCTTCCCCTCTTCCCACCTTTAATCCCCCCCCCATCACCCCCCCTATCCCACCTCCCTTCTTTCCCCATCCCCCTTTCTCGTTCCCCCTTTCCCCCCTCCCCTTTGTTTCCCTCTTCCCATCACCCCAGGCTCAACGTAGCGGTAACGCGTGCGCGCTACTGCATGTGGGTGGTGGGGGACCGGGACACTCTCCAGCGCGGCGACACCACGTGGGAGCGCCTGCTGGTGGACGCACAGCAGCGGGGCTGCCTGGTGGAGGCGCAGAGCGATGCAAAGCTGCGCAGAGTGGTGGAGAGGCGTCAGATGGAGCTGGGAGAGGTGGAGCAGCTGCTGCTTCCCAACTCGGGCCTCTGGGACTCGCTCATTTGGGAGGTGAGATGCGCGGTTGGGGGGGGGAAGAGTGAGGTGAGATGTGGTTTGAGAGGGGCTGTACCAACATGGGTTTGTGTGCTTCGGAGGAAGAGATTATAGATACGTGGGGATGTATGGGTGGGATGAGGTGAGGGAGCACAGCAGCATGAATGGTGGTTTCTAACTTCTAACCAAACCTTGATACTGTAAACCGTTGCTCGTGTCCCTTCCCCACCACCACCAGGCGACCTTCAGCCTGGAGTTTCAGCGCAGCATGCGGGAGCTGCGCTCGCTGGACGTGATCAACGCAGTGAGGCGCCTCATGGGCGGCCACAGGCCGCAGCGATCCACCAGGCCACGGCACGAGCTCAAGGACCCACGTTACTATGACATCATTCACGTGCAGGCCGTGGGCAGATACCAGCTCGTTTGGACCGTTGACGTCTCCCGCACCACCTTCAAACAGGTCTCTGCCCTCTCTTTCAATCTCTCTTCCTGTTCCTCGCCACACTCTGGGAACCCCTTCTTACGCTTGTCTTAGATGCGTGAACAGACCGTCTTGACCTCCATATCCTTTCATCACAGCAGTCGCATGAATTCCTCGCTTCCCCTTGCTCCCTTCACTCCTCCCCTTTGTCTGCCCTCTTTATTACAACCGTACCACGGAGCAGATCATCCGGGTGTGGGATGTGGTGGAGGAGCAGCACGTGCTCAAGTGGCTGCGGCGCGTGGAGGGAGGCCTTGGGACCTACTCCGATGAGTCGCTGGACCGCTGTGCCCGCTGTGACGACCGTATCGCTCGCAAGGTGCAGCCGTTGCAGTTCCCAAAAGACCCGGGGTTCACGTGGCACAGGGGCAAGGCATCGTCGCGCGATGTAGCATCTGCTTCCAACGCAGAAGAAGGTATGATTGGTTCGTTCAGGTGGTTTATAACGTTCAGTGAGCAAAGGCGCTGGTCACAGCAGGAGGTTTAATCTCTGTCTGTCGCACTGGTTTCTTCCTCTTGATTCATCCTGAGAATTGGTTCGTTCCTCCTGCTGCCCTGTTCCCCTTTCCCCGTGTCCACTTACTCGCTTTTCTTTCTCGCCAACTCCTGTTGGTTTTCGTTCTCCCTCCCTCCTTCCCTCCCACTCGCTTCCCTTCCCACCCTCTATCCCGCCCACCAGAGAGCGCCCTGGAGCGGGCGCCAGTGGACGAGAGCGTCCTCCTAATGAAGTTCTACCAGCTGTCTCTGGGGTCGGCGCGGCAGCTGCTGACAGCAGCGCAGGGCGAGCTGCCCTTCGAGGTGAACGAGCAGGAGGCGCTCATTGTGCACTACCCGGGGAGCCTCTTCGTGCTCGGTCGGTCTGGCACTGGCAAGACCACGATCATTACGCACCGTCTGTTGCGCCTGGAGCGGGTGTTTTTGAGAGCCATGGGGGAGAGGGGTCGGCTGGGTCCTGCTGTGGAGATTGGGAAGGGGAGTGGAAGGGGAGGAGGAGAGGATGGAGGTGCGCGTGCAGGGGGTGGAAGAGGAAGGGGGGAGGAGGTCGGTGATGGGAAGCGGGGTGGAGAGGAGGCAGGGGAGGGTGGGGAGGGCGGGAGTGTGGGGACGCTGAGGCAGGTAATTGTGACTCTGAGTCCTCGGCTGTGTGCTGCGATTCGGCACCACGTGCACAAAGTCAGACGGTGAGTTGCCTGAAGGGCTGTGCTGCTATCTCCACACTCCGTAGTCGCCCCTTCCCTTCCCCATTTCCCCCGACCCCACCCCTCTGTTTTCTATTACGTTTCCCTCCCATCGGCTCCTCGTCCAACTTTCTGTTTTGATCTCGGTTTCTCCATCCCTCACACCCCTCCCTCATGCTCTCGCTCACAATCTCGCTCACACTCGCTCACTCTCAACCACGTTTGCATCCCTCCCTCCGTGTATCTTGTCTCCACCAGAACCATGCTGGAAGCAGACGCCGACCTCCCTGCCAGCACCGCACCTCCCACCACAGCCCAGGGGCAGCAGCAGCAGCACGGGGAGGCAGAGGAGGTGGAGGAGCTGTTACTCTCAGAAGAAGCAGAGGAGAAGCTGATGGGGGATTTGCCTGAGTCTCTAGACGAGGTGCAACCCGATGCTTATCCTCTAGTGCTGACCTTCAAGAAGCTTCTCAGCATGGTCAATGCAACACTGGCACGGCCGTTCCAGCAGGAGGGGCTGAAGGCTGGTGGGTGGCATGGGAAGGGGACGGCGGGTGGTGGGTGGAGGAGCGGGGAGTATGAAGCTCAGGGTGGTGCTGGGGGGAGGGGTGGTGATGGCAGTGACGATGATGGGAGTGAGTATTTCTCAGTAAGTGATGCTGATGAGGATGAGGAGGATGAGGAGGATGAGGACGACGAGGAAGAGGATGAGTGGGGCCCAGCGTACCATCAGTCGCACAGGCACAGGGGCAGGGCACAAGGCACTAGGGGAGCAAGCAGCAGCAATACTGGTTACAGCACCAGTGGCAGTGGCAGCGGCAGTGGTGCTGGAGTGCTGTCTTTACCTGAAGAGGTGGACTATGATCGTTTTGAATCCCTCTACTGGCCACACTTCAACACTTCCGTTACTCGCAGGCTAGACGCCTCTCTGGTCTACAAGGAGTTCTTTTCCCACATCAAGGGCTCCCTGCAGGCCCTCAGATCCCCCCGGGGGCGCCTGTCTCAAGAAGCCTACGTAGCCCTCGCGCACTCCCGCACTTCTAGCTTCGACGAGGCGCAGAGGGAGGTGATCTATGGGCTGTACTTGCAGTATGAGAGGATGAAGCGGCAGAGGGGGGACCATGACCTGTGTGATTACGTGTATCACGTGTATAGGGAGCTGGCAAGAGGAGCCACTAGGATCTGCACGCCTGCTGCTCTTGCTGCCGCCTCTGCTGGCTCTGCTGCCACGGCTGCTGCTTCTCGTGCCAGCACCAGGTCTATCGCCTCTCGTGGTGCTGGTGGTGATGACAAGGTTCGCGCTGGCCCGCCGTTCCAGTATGTGTATGTGGACGAGGTGCAGGATCTGACCCAGGCGCAGATCGCCATTCTGCGCTTCCTCTGTGCCAATACCTCTGATGGGTTTGTCTTTGCGGGTGACACGGCGCAGACAATTGCGAGGGGCGTGGATTTCCGGTTTCAGGATATCCGGAGGTTGTTCTATGAGCTGTTCCTGGGAAAGAAGGTGGATGCAGCAGGGGATGCTGGGAGGGAGGGGGTTGAGGGCGGAGGCGAGGTGGTTTCAGGTGGGGGTGGTGGTGGTACTGGTCCTGGTGCTGGAGGTGGAGGGGAAGGGGAGAGTGGACCAGAGGAGGGGCAGGGACGGGAAAAGCAAGGGAGGTGGGCAGGGGCAGCAGCAGCGCGAGGCAAGCAGAAGCTATCTGGCAAGGGGAGGAGGATGCTCGAAGAGGTGGGGAGTGGTGGAGCAGCAGAGACAGCACAGGGCCGCTCAGACAGGGACAGAGCGGAGGAGAGCAGGGGAGAGACGGGAGCAAGGGCAGGTGGGGCAGCACAGGAGCGATCGTCCTGCACAGAAATGCCGGATCTCTTCTTCCTCTCGCAAAACTTCCGAGCACACAACGGCATAGTGTGTCTGGCAGATAGTGTGGTGCGCGTGCTGCTGCACTTCTTCCCCCACGCTGTCGACCGCCTTGCACCGGAGTTCAGTCTGATTGATGGAGAGGCGCCTGTTTTTCTGGATGCTAAAGAGGGAGACGATGTGGTGACGCAGCTGTTTGGGAAGAAGGGGGCGATTGGCGGCGGAGGGTGCGAGTTTGGAGCAGAGCAGGTAGGGTACCAGCAAATGAAAAGGGGATGGTGATTTTGGGAAAGGGAGACATTAGAGTGAATGAAGGGTTCTGGGAGAGGGAGTGTGGTGTGATGGAAAGAACATGCGCATGTGTTTCTCCTCCTAGGTGTTCCACTTGGTTTGTGCTGCTACTACTGGGTCATCTGGTGTTCTTCTTTCCGCTCCTGTTTTTCACGCTGCTTTTTTCCACTGCTGTTTCACACCTTTTACGACCCACCCTTCTGCTCTCATCAGGTGATCTTGGTGCGAGATGCAGAGAGTCGCACAGAGCTTGTGAAGCGGATCGGGTCAAAGGGGCTGGTGCTTAGCGTGCACGAGTGCAAGGGGCTGGAATTCCAGGTGAGATATTCCCGGGGTACCATTCTAGGTACTCGAGAGTGGTATGCAACCCAGTGGAACTTCTCCTTCATTGTTCCTGTCTTTAACAGATTCGTAAGCTTTCCTCTGATAGCGTAGCTCCCTCTGCACAAATCTCTCTCCCTGTCTCCGCCACTCTTCAGGACGCCCTGGTCTACAATTTCTTCTCGGGCTCGCCTATGGCGTCGAGCTGGCGGCTGCTGTACCACTACATGCGCGAGCACTCCCTCATCCCCTCCGCTGAGGACGGCTCCAGCCGCTGGCAGTGCCCCTCCTTCGACCCCAAGCGGTGCGTGACCGTGGGAAATCCTCAAAAGCTGTTTCTTCCAGTAGTGCTAATCGTGTCCTGTTGGACGGTAATAGTAACTGACGTACCAATTCTTCTCCTCTCTTCTTCCACTCTTCCTCAACCGTATTTGCATCCACTGTCTTCTCCTTTTCCACACACAATCTCCTCCGCACCTGACTGGATTATGACGGGTCATCATGAACCTCACTCACCTCACAGCATCTCCCCACTCCCTTGCCCTTTCCTCATCCCCTCCCAGGCACAACCTCCTGTGCAGCGAGCTGAAGCAGCTGTACGTGGTGCTAACACGCGCTCGGCAGCGGCTGTGGATATACGAGGAGGACGAGGGGGCAAGGCGGCCTGCCATGGACCTGTGGGGGTCGATGGGCGTGGTGGCCGTGAAAGCACTCACGGCTGACCTCCTCACGTCCATGCACACTGAGTCCTCTCCAGAGGGGTGGCACAAGAGGGGCACTGAGGTGAGGCTTGAGTCGAGCTGACTTAGAAATATATCGGGGATGCTGGGCAGGGGAAGATTCTGGGAATAATTTCAAGTTCTCAAATTTTCCTTCCCATTCATCTCTCTTTTCCCTCCCCCTTCCCCTCTACTTCATCTTTCCACCTTTTCCCCCCCACTTATATCTCCCCCTTTCATTTACCTCCCCTCTCCTCTCTCCCGCCTCCATTCTGCCACGGTTCTCTTCTCCCTCAGCTGTTCAACGCAGCCCAGTTCGAGGCAGCAGTGCTCAGTTTCGAACGAGCAGGGGATGAGCACAGTGCAGCGGTGGCACGGGCAGCACTGCTACAGCAGACAGCCAAGAGGCTACAGGGCACTGACCCCAAGAAAGCCAGCAAGACGTTCCAGGACGCTGCAAACGCGTTCCTGAAGGTGGAAAAGCCGAGGGATGCCGCCCGGTGCTTGATCAGTGCCGGCAAGATGAAGCAAGCAGGTGAGGAATGGTGGAGTGGGGTGGGTGAGGTTGGGTGAAGGGACGTGAAGGAGAAGGGCAGGGGTGATTGAGAGGAGGGCAATGGTGCTGTGAGAGGAGGGTTTGGGGAGAAGATTAGGCTGTTGTTTTGCTTGCTCGAGTAGCTGTGTAAGAATCCATTTGGATCTTCCTTTTCTCTTCCCCCCTCCTCCCCACTTCGTTGCCTTTCGTATTTCCCCGCACCTCCCTCTCCTTCCATTAGCTTTTGCACTGGAGGGTGATTGATTTCTAGTGGTTCTAAACACTTCAAAAAAAAAAAAAAAAACTCTTCATGTGTCCTCTCTTTCATGGCGCCTACCAGGTGACGTGTATCGTGACAGGTGTGTGCCGGCCATGTGGGTGAAAGCAGGGGAGTGCTACGAGCTGGCAGCAATGGCAGAGGAAGCAGCGCAGTGCTTTGCACAGGTGTGGGAGGTGGGGAGGGCGCTGCTTGTGTGCGCACAGAACCGCTTGTACACTCTCGGGGTGTCCCTGCTGCAAGTGTGGCAGGGGCAGGTGGAAGAGGGAATGAGAGCAGTGAAAGGAAAGCAGAACCAGCAGAGCCAGCAGCTGCAGCAGCAGAAGCAGGAGGAGGAAGAGGAGGAAAAGTGGAAGCAGCGAGAGAGGCTCGTCGTTCGAAAAAATGCAGAGTTTCTGCAGCAGGCTGCGATGTATTACTATCGCAAGAAGAACAAGAGCGAGATGATGAGGTTTGTGCATCAATTCCCGTCACCGGCAAAGAAACGGCAGTTCTTGGAAAGGCGTGACTTCTTTGATGATCTGCTTCAGATTGAGGTAGCTGAGGGGAATTTCCAGCGGGCAGCTGAAATGATGCTCAAGAAGGGCGACATGGTTGGGGCAGCGAGAATGTTTCTCGGGCAGAAGGAATGGGGCGTTTGAATGTGCGATGGGTGCGGCTCGTGTCGCGAGCATGTGGGCGAATGGGAACAAGGGATGGCCGTTGAATGTTCGGGAGCGGAAGCAAGACAAGGTGGAGAAGCAAGAGCTTAAGGTGGAGACCAGGAAAGACGAGTCGAAGGCGGGAAAGGGGAAGGAGGATGAGGGAAAGAAGGCGAAAGTGAAAGCAGGAAAGGGTGAGGTTGTTCCAAATGCATGGGAGACGAGGGCTGAGGTGGATGAGAGTGAAACAAAAGTCAAGGGCAAGGCAGACGCTCCAGAGGGAGAGGGGAAGCAAGAGGAGGTTGAAAAGCAGCAGGAGGGGGTGGAAAAGAAGGTGGATGGGAATGTAGATGCGAGTATG